CGTTATTGTGGTATTCTAATGCATTCATGCACATTTATATCATCATATAATAATTTATTTATTTACTATAATGCGAGTATTTACTTTTATTTAACATAAAACTAATTAAATCCTGCTATTGCTACGCTATTTTTAAAAATGTATATTTTATTGTAGCTATGATTCTCGTATAATAGGGCAGCACTTCTTTATTTTTTTTATTTTATTTATTTTATTAGGCTCACAACACACATCACAAGCTAAAGATACACAAAAAAACACAAATAAAAAGAAACAAAATCTGGCTTGCAACATAAGACATGTGCGCACGACAAAACAAGACATATAGTGCTGAATTTGTATAACAATGTTCCTTACAATTATGACAAAACAACACAATAACAAAAACTAATCTAACGAATAATGTAAGGAAGAAAAAAAAAAAATTANACTGTATTAAGTTACAAGAATTCATAAACTCTTCCAGTAAGCAGAGTTTCCCACTGGTACAAGGCTGATCTCCAGCACAAATATTAAGTTTTGAGGGAGAAGCAACACGCATGGCTGAGATGTAATCTGGTTGGTTAAAATCTCCCAATAACAAATAGTCGTCATCAGGATGATCGTTCAAGATTATTTTCTGACAATTAGAATAACAGAATAACAGTCATGGTAGTTTTTTTCTGGAAATTATAATGAGATAAGGTAAAAATTAAATGCATAGTCAATATAATTATTGACTGTCAGTTTTCTCTGCATTATGAAATACTAATGAGGCTATACATAAGTATGCAAGTACTCATATATGAGTGAAATATACTGACATGACACAAAATTTATATGATATGATACAAATAATATTAACAATATTAAGATAAAAATATATCGGCTTTTGAGACTGGTGAAATAAGGTTACCAGTATATATATTTTTAGACGTTAGACATGTGGCTGAAAGAGTTCTTTACCCTTTTTTTTCATCTTATATTGAGTGATTACTTGAGCTCATAGATATCAGGTAGTAAATGTCGCCGTGTAGAGTAATTACAAAAACTATGGTTTAGGCGGGTTTGATTTATATTACATCGCGTTATTTCCTCATCGTGGAAGACATTCGTGAACAGGAGTCAAGTACGGATTTCATCAGAAAAGTTGGTACCTACCTGCGGGATTTGTATACCGGCATAGTAGCATCGCTCGACACGAATACACCGGGATTGTTATTTTTTAGGCCCCGATGATTTGTAAAACTGAGATAAGGAACAAAGATTGTCATTATCATTTCACTCTCAATTTTTTCACAGTGACCAATTAAAAGCGTCTAGTGAAGTCATTGAAACTCAAATGATAATGTGCTGTCGTAATGCTAAAATTCTAATATAGCCTTTATTTTAAAATTATAACAAGGGAAACCTTCATCAACATTTGTCCAACTAAAGGCAAATAAACATGCAATATTTAATAACATGCAATATTTTTATCGGCTTTCTCGAGTTGTAAGTATAATGGAAACTACTTTCAAAAATAGTTTACGACTAGGGTCGTGCGTGTCTAAGAAAATGTGTAAGTTGAATACTTAAAAGACTTCGGAAAATGTATTCGTCGATATTAAACTGTAAAAGTACTTTTAAATGTATGGAGAAAAAAAACTATAAACGAACTAACGAAACAAATTAAATTCAAATCTAAAGGCAACTCTAAACCATGATTTATGCTAGGTATTTGTTAAAAATCTCATTCTGCTCGAGGCTAAATGGTATATAATTAATTATTTTCTTTGTCTCTTGATGATCAAATATCAAATTACAACGGTGTTAAAGAAGTTTTGACAGACGAGGCAACAACAGATAGATCCAAATCCGAGTGCCAATATGTTTAGCAAAGACCGGATATCAAAAACAGGAACAAACATCTGTTTTATAATCATTAGGGTAACCAACTAATCACTAAATCAACAATATCTAAATAAACAAACGCGCATTGTTGATTGAAGCGAGTACATTACTGGTAGTTTATTACTGGTGGTAGGACCTCTTGTGAGTCCGCACGGGTAGGTACCACCATCCCGCCTATTTCTGCCGTAAAGCAGTAATGCATTTCGGTTTGAAGGGCGGGGCAGCCGTTCTAACTATACTGAGACCTTAGAACTTATATCTCAAGGTGGGTGGCGCATTTACGTAGTAGATGTCTATGGGTTCCAGTAACCAGTTAACACCAGGTGGGCTGGGAGCTCGTCCACCCATCTAAGCAATAAAAAAAAACATGGAATGTTTTACTTAATAAGGTTCTCATAAACAATATACTTAAATTGCAGATGGAAGCTCTACGTCGTATGCAGCAGATACCTCAATGGCATTGTATGCGGTACCGCAGATTCCATCCCCATGGACACTGCAGTCGCTGGCACTTGATGAGGAGAGCCTAATATACCTACTTGATGATACCCGTCACAAAATTAATATGAATTCAAAACGCTAACCAACATGTTAATTACAACCCGAGAGATTAAAAATGTTAGGCAAAATCAACCAAGTTTAAGAATTTAAGTCCTCTTGTACTTAGTATAACAATCACATCGCATATGTATACTTCATCATCATCATCAGCCTGCGGCAGTCCACTGCTGGACATAGGCCTCCCCCAAAGCTCGCCACTGAACCCGATCTTCGGTTCTACGCATCCAGTTACTGCCAGCTGCCTTGCGCAGGTCGTCGCTCCATCTAGCAGGAAGGAGGGCGTCCCACACTACGTTTGCCGGTTCGCGATCTCCACTCCAGAACACGTCTACCCCAACGGTTATCGGTTCTGCGACATATGTGACCAGCCCACTGCCACTTCAGCTTACTAACTCTGCGAGCTATATCGATCACTTTGGTTTTTGCCCGAATGACCTCAATGCGTATTCGGTCTCGCAATGACAAACCGAGCATAGCTCGCTCCATAGCTCGCTGAGTAATTTTTAATTGGTGGACTAGTCGCACAGTCAGTGTCCACGTTTCGGCTCCGTAGGTAAGCACGGGTAGGACGCACTGATTATAGACCTTTGTCTTCAGACATTGTGGTATGGGCGACGAAAAGACCTGACGAAGCTATGTATACTTAGTATCGTACATATCTGTATTTATTTTGTTTATTAATCGTATCATTAAATATTATTTTTGTACTACTGTCAAGGATTCATGTCCTTGTGTCTTAATTAAATTTGGTGCTCTCTCTCTCTCATCTCTCATATTATTTGTCAAACATTTTTTTTAAATATCATTATCAACCACTTACCACGAAAAATTTAGAAAAAAATGCCGTAGACAAATTTACTGTAAATACCGTGGACTCCCGGTGATCGATCTCTGCTTAATCTGACTAGCCCTGTAATTCAACCAGATTCTAGCATCCAAAAGGATTTCAGTAAATCTTCTTGATTTCAACACTCTGTACTTATGGATGTAGACGTATCTAATTTGTCAGATTAAAACGCATTCTTTTCAAAAAGTTCTACCGTGGCTCTATAGCAGAACTCGATAAATTCGATTATTTGTCACCTTGCATTTGCTTGGCGGATAGTCGCGAGTCAACTATAATATGTGAAATGTAAATGTAGAATTCGATCTTATCTCATAAGTGCTCAGTGCTCAGCTTTTTACTTAGCGCTAAATGAGCTGACAGCTCACCTACCTATCTTTACAAATTAATATAACCTCTTAGTAACTGACGTTATGATAAACTTAAGATTCCTATTTATTCGAATTTAGTAGACATATAATAAATTACGTAGCATTAACTACCACATTCATAATTTCACGAACAAAAAGAAAATCATACCATATATTAAAAATCATTAAAATTGTAATTAAATTATCAAATCTATAAGTTAAGCGTATTCATTTTTAAGGGAATGTAGAAGTGATGTTTTAAGAAATACTCAATAATATAATGATTATCAATATAATAAACATTGCCTACGAACATACTAAATTTATACATCTGTGTGCTTTGGAAGCACAGTCTAATCAAGAATCAAAGATCTGTAAAATTTATTATGCCTTTCTCACAATCATTAACCTACCTTTGTTACAGAAATGATAGTTGTAATCCAAATTTTAAGAGCATTGTTCAACTAAATATATACAAAACTAGTAGTGCAATTAACAAACCTAAGATACTTATTCAATTGTGATTCTTTACTTAAAATGTACAAATAAAACACGTTTTTACTTGTTATAAGTAGGTAGTGATGTGAATAAACCAAAGAACATACTTAATGTATTTTATTTCATCAAATTAATCATCATTACTGTAAATTTTATTGTATGGAAATCACTCGTTCTCGCATTATATGACTACGAATGTATCATAATCAGGTAAACCACGGAAGTAGTCTGTTTAGGGGACAAAGCGTGTATGAAATAAAAAAAATATATATTCCCTTCTCTTTGAATTTTGGAATTTTTAAACTGTGAGCCGAACTTAACAAAGAATCGAATAGTCTTTCTGACAGAATAGGGACACGCCGGATCTTTTTTTTTTTATTGCTTTTGTAGGCAGACGAGCATACGGCCCACCTGATGGTGAGTGGTTACCTTCGCTCATGGACTTCAGCAATGCCAGGGGCAGAGCCAAGCCGCTGCCTACCGCTTAATACTCTCCACAAGCCTCATTTGAAAAAGGACATGTCATAGGATCTGATAAAGCCTAAGATCCCCGAAGATAAACTTCGGCTTTGCCATCGTGGTGTAGCATTCACTTAAGATCAGTAGGGCTGTGAGTTTTATACGGCGTTCCAGTCGTCATCAATTCTAATTATTGTTTCCTGTAGCCGACATACCTAATTCGAGAAAGTTCCAAGTCTCGCACTCGTCCGTCAAGTGTGGACATTTCGTAAGAGTGATTCATCTTTGCTGGCTCAAATGGTTATGTCATAAACATCACAAGATTACTACTAGATTACAGAGCACACTTGTTACATACGCTTTAAGGAAATTGTATATAATTTGAAAAGGCGAAATGAAACATATTTCCTTCACTTTATTTGGGGAAAGGCTTTTAATATTCGTGAGCGCATTAAAGTACTTTACTGTGAAAAATAGACTACGCTATATGTTTTAGACTTAAAAAAAGTATTGTGGGTAAATCGGTGTTGCATTTTTAGATTTTTCTTGATGATTATTTATAGTGTCGTATTTACTTGTGATGCCGTTGTTGTTTCTTTGGTCTATTTTCATCAGAATGTTATTCGCAAAACGAACACTAAAATTAAAAATAAGTTCCACGAAACTGAGTATACTTGCACCCAAGAATAGACCTGTAGTTCCACCGATAGACACTGAAAACATCAATATCAAGGCTTTGTTAAATAAAAATGAACAGCAATTGTATATTAACAGATTTTTGTTGACTTACCAACTAAATCTAGACGGCTCCTAACAACATTGCGTTTGAAACGTTCCGTTGGTAAATATGCTAGTACTAATTCGACGAAAGCCCTCTTTCTATTCGCCTTACCTTTATTGCTAAAAGAAGAAATGTGTAAACTTGTTACTTAATTATTGTGATGTCATACCGTGGACTTGACCAATCGATATTTATGTTTTCAAATAATGGTAGTTAGGCGACAACAAAAAAGTGTGTGTGTGTGTGTGTGCAAGTCACACACGGTAGAAGTGAAACTTATACTGCCTATCCCACTACACAGGAGCATACATATGGACAATGTTTAGTAGACGATAGTGGGGATGCTACGAAGAGTCGCACAGAGAGGAGACCGAGAACGTCCAATGTCTTCTATCTCATTCTCTCGCCGGCTGAATCCTATACATTTATGTGTTTGTGTCTCTATGGACTTATTTTTTCGTTTCATCGAGTTCGAAATCACAACGATTCTAAAGAAGTTTCACTTCAACAATCACTAAATGTTTCAATTGATTGGTTTAATTCGATTAACTGTGACGAAGCGGTTTGGCTTACGAAACAACGACATCCTTAATAACAGTAATTTCTGTCTCGTCACATGAAGCTACGCAGCTGCACGCGAGTCCTGGTCGATTCGCCCAGTGCGGCTTCAGGGTCGTTAACTGACTTGCGAACGAGTGGAGACACGCGATGCCTGACAAATTGCAACGTTCTGACTCTTCTGCAATAAAAGAATACAAGGTGACTCAAAAATAGATGTAACATAAAACCAGGCCAAATAGTAACCGCCTATGAAAACGAAACTTTAGAAATAGTTAAAAGTTTAACCAAAACGAATATAAATGTGACTTTTTGCGCCAGAAACAATTATTATTGTGTGTAACTTTAAAATAACAAAAGTTACAGGTGTAACGAAATCATACTCGATGCCGTTAGGAAATAAAGTAGTTACTCCACTAACATTAATTGAAATTAATGTTCATTTTCNATAGTAACCGCCTATGAAAACGAAACTTTAGAAATAGTTAAAAGTTTAACCAAAACGAATATAAATGTGACTTTTTGCGCCAGAAACAATTATTATTGTGTGTAACTTTAAAATAACAAAAGTTACAGGTGTAACGAAATCATACTCGATGCCGTTAGGAAATAAAGTAGTTACTCCACTAACATTAATTGAAATTAATGTTCATTTCCTAAAGTTCATAAAGATAAATACATATGTATGACTTCAGCAAGGTCATGTTTCGATAGCCCCTAATGTAATGCAAAAGCATGTTTTTTTACTATATAAATGGGTGAACTAGCTAACGTTCGGCTGAAATTTAGTGTTAACCATTACCTACTGATATTATTTCAGGTATTGCTAGCTCTACCATCTATTATTGTTTTCGGAAACGTTTCTAATACACAACGTTTAATTTATACAATGAACTAGTACAATGCACCATACAATAGACACAGTAAGATACAATTCGATAAATTTTCATGCAGGTCTTAAAAAACTTAAAAAACTTAACTTAAAAAACTCGGCGGAAGTCCGGCGATATCCTACTGGCCAAAAAAATAAAGGTCTTAAAATTTAAAAAAAATATAGTCTTTGCTCGCCCACATGTCCTGGTGAAACCGGAAAGACCTCTGGGCCACCGGTAATCCCTCAAACAAAAAAAAACTTCTCGTATTTGCTTTCGTTTAATACTTACTAGTGCCCAACATAAAATGGTCGTTGCATCCACATGTGTCTAGCTGGCCTTTCTTACGACACAAAACCGTGCAGGCGCTATAAGAATATTTAGGGTACAATCCGTCCTTGTTCTCGTGGTGGAAGCGACAGGCTCTCTGTTCCGGTGTTGTGTCCACAATCAGAGGATCGTTTTCAATGTTTCGTATTGTTAATTGTCGGCTAATAAAAAAGAATGTTTGGAGATTGGCTAATTTATTTGCATAATCATTTGTCCTTCAAATATAAGTTTGTTTTTCTGTTGACTATCTCGGTCGTACATCAGTTAGCACTCCCGACTGATGAGCCAAGAATTCTGGGTTTGATTCCGACATCGGGCAAACATTAATGCTATGAACATGTTTGTTTCTTGGTCGGGGTGCATAATATATGTATTTATTTATTTATTTAAACGTTCATAACTATGTATAATATTCTCCGCCACCGTTTTCATGGTGCAGGGAAATTTAATTTCGGTCCAGATAATCCTATCTGATTGGTCTTTGAATATTTATTTAAAATGTGATTACGTAAAATTTTATACCTATTATTTTAATAAATTATATTTATACCTATGTAAACTTTAAATGCTAAAAGTTACTATACATAATTCCACAGTAAGGTCAGTCTAATCCCTATAATTAATATACAATATGTATGGACATGAGAATACCTTACTCTTACAATATGGCGTCTTATTTTATCACCATTCTTCAATTCATATCTGATGTACATGGATTTGTTGTTATCTTTAGTAAGACCATTCCTATTAACATATCTAAAATGACGTAGTTGATATTACCTATAGTTAGCTCCGAGTTGGATCTTCAAAGTGGACGACTGCAAAGTGGTCACAGTCGGAACTTCATCTTCGCCTAAAGTATACATCTACAACATAGGCGAATAGGATATTTTTATATATAACAATATATTTTTAAATATAATAGCTGTAAAAATTTTTTTCACCTATTACCATAGAGGGTATCGTTATCACGAAGCTGAGTTTTCCATATTTTTCTTGCATATTACTGATCATAGGATATGGTTTTGGTTTCCTGTTAATTTTATATAAAAGTACTGTTATTGTATTTTTGTTATTATTGTTATTGGCTTTTCGTAACGTTTACAAATAGTAGTTACAATAAAGGTACTTACTTTGTTTGAATAGAATTTATAATAAAACATGTTCCTATGTCAGTATCAATAGGTTGAAAGAAGTTGCAGCAATCAAAAGGCTTGCTATTATATGAACAATTTGTTATGATTTTCGGGCAATCGCTTCGTACCAGCCTTACGTAGTTCGTGTAATTAGATACGGGACAATTTGGATCGGGATTTTTAGTTAAATGACAGACTTCAACAAGACTGTAGCTCACTCCACGAAAATATGCAATTTCCTTCAGAGTATCCTCTAGGTCTAATAAATGGGATGGCGTCCATATGCTGTTAATAGATTTGATTAAATTAAAAAACTTATGAACTATTTGAGAAATCACTCGATCAATTTCTGAGATCGTATTCGCCGATTGAGCATTATCAGACGATTACTACGATGGTGCCACGGACCTTCAACTTACTGTGGTGCCTTGTATTATAATTTAAAATAATACTCAACATTTTATAAAACATCTCTTTCAATCTTACTTAAGTGTTACCTTCTAACAATTATGCTTGAGTGCCCTTTTATGAAAGGCAATGGAGATGGTCTGTACTTTCTCAATTCCGATTGCGTTCGTCCACATTGCGTTTCTAGATATAACCGCCCAGTGAGCTTAGACCTTTAAAAGGACCAATATCATAACCTAGTCATGCAGCGGTGCGATTATGGAAAATTATGATAGCACCGCATCAAGATTTTGCATGTATAATTTTTATAATCGTAAAACACCATTTATTTTTGAGTAGATCGAATTTTAGAAGAATACTCACGTGTCAGATACATTATATATTTTATCATCGTTGGCTGATTCACAAATAGCTACAGCTGGTAATTTTGTATCCCAATCAGTGTATGTAGTTTCAACACCGAAACTTATAGGGCTCTGAACAAAGGACTCCCATGCTGATACTATCAATAGCGCAGAGCCGTACCACGACAGAGCCACAAAGACGAACCACAAGATTCTGTCGAAATCCACACATGTCTGTGACCTTATTGTATAAAGCATAAAGACAAGAAAAATCACTGAGAAGATGGGTATCTCATTGTGTCAAGACTGTTAGTCGCGAGTATCTGAACTACTAAAAATTGCGCAACCTATGACCAAACGACAGAGTATTCAACAACTAACCTAATTGTTCTTAACAAAAGGATCATGTGTCAAATAATCTTGGTATATGAAAAGGCAAATTTTAATTTATAATACGTTGCCTGCTTAATTTTTCTAGTTGTCTTAGCTGGCTCACGGCCCATCGCCCACTGAGTTTCTCGCCGGATCTTCTCAGTGGGTCGCGTTTCCGATCCTGCTCTTGCTAGAGCTAGTGTTAGCAACATCCTCAGGTTAGAGCCCCATGAACTTACCTACTCGTTCTGCGAGAATCTAGTACATATAACCCCTCGAGATTACTAAAATAGGTAGGAAAAAAAAACGGCCCACTTAAGCATTATTGGAACCCACCCATCATGGCGCACACATCAAAACATTACGTTCTAGGTTTCTTTTAAAATTGCTATTTTACGGTTTCCCCGAAACGCGTACACATACGTTCGGCAGTTGCAGGTTGGTGCAGACTTGTAGCGGATCACTAAATAATTACGTTGTTATGTGACCTTTAATGGCAAAAATACTTTGAATCTGATGTAGGTAGGTATATAAAGCCAAAAACCCAGATTACATATCAACATTATAGTTAGATGAATTTATAAATTATATCTATAAGCGGAATATGATCAAAACTTTGAATTGTACCCACACTTCTGGTAGGTACACGAGTAGGTATATTTCTTACCTTTCTGTCCAGTGTTTCGTGTCATCTGCAATGAAATGTACACCAGCAAAAGTGCAATTTGCACAATAGTCCTTAACTAAGGCTTTGCATGTCGTTTTAGACATATTTTTTTACATTCCGTATATTACTTGTTATTCTGAAGCTAAAAAGTGCAGAAATGCGACATTCGTTTGTGAAATATAATCGTTTTGATATTGTGTAAACGTTTTGAATAATTAATGCAAAAATTGTAAGTTATTATGAAATCACGTGATTATGTGCAACAACGAATGCTGAATGTTCAAGGCTTTTGAGAACGTTTAGATTAATAACATGCTTCTGTGTTTATTCGTAAGTTTATTTAGCGTAATGGGTCAAAGTTTACAACATGCATAATAAGGGATTCGTTGAAATACGTAAATTGTATTTTATGTATTAAAGTAAATAGTACAGAGTAATGCTTAAAATTGAACTAAAACAATTCGATTCTGAATGTGGTTTTCAGCGATTGATTCATTTAAGGGCTTTAAAAAAAAAGATTTTATTTACATATTCAGCAAGTTAATGACATCGTTTTTCACCAACTACCAATCAAAGATCAACGATTATAACATTATTTACAAAAATACATACAAATATTACATTACGAAATTACATTATTTACAAAAATACACCACTACTCAGAAAAAAACAGCAGAAGGCAATCACTCTACACATTACATAGATACTAAAATCATGACCCTCCTTTGGATATGAATTATGCTTTATTACATTTTTAAGCAGTGGTTTGGCTGTTTTTTCAGTAATTTACCATCTGAAGATCGTAGGCTTCGTCTACTTTCGTTGGAATTAAAAAAATAGTTGAATAGATTGTATGTAGGTCAAAAATAAAAGTATGCATTGACTCTTACGAAACATATTTCGCTAGGTTATGTACATTTTTAAAGTAAAAATTGAGATAGGTATGTATTTATATAATATTTTAATCCTATTTTGTACAAATTATTTTTTCACTTAAGACTTAATACTTAAAATACTATAAAATACATGGAAAACTTGTAAATGAGTATAATGGGACATTTAATTTTACTTTGGTTCTAAATTAATTTTCATTTTATCACTCAAATCTTTCATAAATACTGCAGGTAATCTTGTATTGGAAATTCAGCCGTTAAAGGTTCATCTATATTTTTCTGATTATTTCCCGCCGACCAGTATTGGTAAGGTTTTCTCTGTGACAAATGTGCATATTTTTGGCGCGAAATAAAACCAGCGTGAGTCAATATATTGTAAATCTCATTCCGTGATACTTTGTTCGCTTCTCGTTCATAAACCTGAAATAAAATATCAAAATTTGTAAGTAAGTAAATAATTTTAGGAGTTATCTATCAATAGAGTCGATCTAAATAGATGAGGCAATATGTCGCAATAGGTAAAATCGATATACATTAATTGCATAATTAGAACACACTGTCATAAAACTATCGATTATGTGAGAATGTTTCAAAAAACATTAACATGAGGAAATTAAAACGGCGCTGAACTAGATTTCATTTATCTCATAAAATTCGGACAGACTTCAAGTGTCAAGGTAAAGTTTATGCAAACAAATTTAGTTGGGAAATTCTCTATGTACTTAGTCTGTTACTTCTTGTCGCTCGGATTCATCCAGGATATTTAATTATCTATACTAATATTATAAAGAGGAAAGATTTGTTTGTTTGTTTGTATTGAATAGGCTCCGAAACTACTGAACCGATTTGAAAAATTCTTTCACTTTTGGAAGCTACACTATTGTGGAGTGACATAGGCATATTTTTTGAAAAAATTAGGCATCCTTACTAAACCTCCAATAATGTAACCTAAGATGTAAAAAAATTACCTAAAATATTCTTTATATCGCGTGCTCTGCGAAAACTATTGATGATAGAATAAAATAATGATACGACTGTGTAGAACACATATTAATTGCAAAAAGTGTCGCGACAGTATATGTCTAACTATTATAGTTATGCCACAATAAGTGTTCTTTTATTTAAAAAAATTAAAGAACGTCAAATATCGTTGAAATTTTTACTAAAGACCCGAGCGGAGCCGGAGCGGGCCGCTAGTGATAATATAAACCATGAAAATTAAACGGATAGGTAACTCACAAGTTTTTCGCCGTTATGCAGGAGACTGGTTAAAGGTAAAACTTCTTGAAGATTCGGGTTATGAAGAACTGGACTACGTAGATGTGGCGGTAAATGTTCCTCTTGCTGACGCACTGCTACAACATCGGGATGAGGAGGCTGACAGTTCACCAGGAACGCACACGACAGTACTATTAGAATGTATTTCATTTTATCTGTAAATATGTATTTAATGCGTCAACATTATTTCATAATTCATTTAAATAACGCTGCATTACAAAAATAAGCTTAGTTTTCCAAATATATGGAGCAAAATATTGGCTTTCNTTCCTCTTGCTGACGCACTGCTACAACATCGGGATGAGGAGGCTGACAGTTCACCAGGAACGCACACGACAGTACTATTAGAATGTATTTCATTTTATCTGTAAATATGTATTTAATGCGTCAACATTATTTCATAATTCATTTAAATAACGCTGCATTACAAAAATAAGCTTAGTTTTCCAAATATATGGAGCAAAATATTGGCTTTCATTAAACATGGATTGAACTTTTTTTTTATTGCTTAGATGGGTGGACGAGCTCACAGCCCACCTGGTGTTAAGTGGTTATTGAAGCCAATAGACATCTACAACGTAAATGCGCCACCCACCTTGAGATATAAGTTCTAAGATCTCAGTATAGTTACAACGGCTGCCCTACCCTTTAGACCGAAACGCATTACTGCTTCACGGCAGGAAGGCAGGCACGGCAGGGCACAGAAATAGGCAGGGCGATGGTACCTACCCGCGCAGACTCACAAGAGGTTCTACCACCAGTAAAGAGAACTGCTCTAAGCAGCTGCTTTAAGAGTTAAGTATACGTACATTCACCTATTGGTAAATGTTTTTATTAAATAATTAATTCATTGCCAGCTTAATAACACAAACATGATTCGCACGTACTTACGATTCGTACGCCACTTTTTTACGTTGATCATATTATCGCTAGATAGATCAGAAAATATCCAAGTATAAAAATACAATAACAACCCAGATGCATTTTTAAAACCTTGCGTTTATTAATTCTTAAAACGACTTCAAATCAATACGGATAAAGAGAACAGAACATTAATAATTCGAGATGTTAATTATTGGCGGCCACAACCTGGTTTATTATGAAATCTTTAAAGAATGTGAAGAGAATTTTGTTAGCGTTTCACTATTATTGACCGAAGGCCTCAGATAAAATATAGCACAAAAAAAGTCATGACCAACACATCGAATTGAAACTACTGTTACTCGTGTTCATTTTTATTATTATCTTTTAATAATTACAATTTTTAAATATAATTTTTTCACTTTAATTTTCTGTGCATAAGAAATAATGCCGCAGCCTATCTTTAGATATCAGTTCACAGTCGCATTTTTTTAACATTATGGCTATCTTGCCTATCATTCTTATCATACGTATATGATACGTTCGCGGTGGTCTATTCTGATCTCTTACTATTAAGAGGGTAGTAAAAACCCATTTAGACTAACGCAAACGTTATCTCTATACTTATGTATGTGCTCCTGTCATATTAATTATATTTAAAAATTTATTCTCTTAAGCGCAATGATTATCAGACTTTTTTAGCTTCACTATTCCATTCTTGAAAAAATCATTTAAAAAAATGTATTTAGTATTTTTTTGCTTAGACGACTGAATGAGTTTAGGGAATGACCGCTATCAGAACCCGTAGACATCAAAACGTGAATGCCGCCAACCATATAATGTCTATTAACTTCTATATTTTAGTTTCAGGTATTATATTTTCGGCTAATTAGAGAATAACATCGTGTATGTTTCAAGACAGAGTACAGTGCTGTTTTCTTAATAATAACCTTCATATACCCGAGAAACTAAAACAGCTTTTGCTTGAGATATTTTAATAGCAAACAATTATCTTGAACATGATAGCTGTTGCTCAATATTGTCAAATTAAAGTCCATTTCTACATTGATTTCAGTATCTTTTTTGGCTATAATTATGATTGTGTTGTTATTTTAATTAGTAAAATAAGTCAATTCAGTAAAGCATATATAAAATAGAATCCATATGAATAACGTCGTACATTACTGTCAAGGTCGAGATGTAACAAATTACATACTTTCAACCTTAGAATTTTTTATCGCGATATTACCTTTCAACGTTCACGTTTATTCAGGGTTGACAGATATACGTTTTAATAAAAATCTCTCCCAGGATTTTAGTAATTCAAAGTAAAAAAATAAATAAACATTGCATCGCCGAATGAAACTATAATAAGCAAAAGCAAAAAATAATAAAAAAACATATGGATGGATTCTCAAAACAAATTGTTGTTGACAGTTGAAAATTTACCTAAATTTTTATATTTCAAATAAATGTAGATTGATCATATAATACGCGTAATATATCTATAAAACACGAACTTCATCCATCAAGTGTCATGTTGTTAAGTAACTTATTCGTAACAGGCTCTAGTTTTTTTCTCGAACAGTCTGATGGAAGAGATAACAGACAGCCTCATGCCCATATATGCTATATAGATAGCTAATAAGCTACTGGTATAAATATCAAAAATAACTTGGATACCTTTTTTTTGACATCCCTAATCCAAGAACTAATAAATCTCTTAGTCGACTGTGCTTCGTCGTTTGTTTTAGTTATGTATGGTCTCGATCATAATAATATTAATGTTATATAAAAATTTAGATTGTTTGTTCATTCGGAATGGAAAAAAGAGGCAGATAACAATCTGAAGCATAGTTTATATACTGCCAGTTTTAACATTAACAGATATTCTATTGAGCAGACAGAATATGTTTTTCAAGCGATGAATAACATAGAAAAAAACGGTATTGTATTTGAATTCAGATCGTAATCATTAATATTTTTTAAACATATTATGAAAAAAATTTCAGTCTTTAAAAAAAATATATTTACAAAACATTTACTTATTTTCCAATAAGAAGTGTATGTGTGTAAATAAAAATGTTTAAATGTATGTTTGCCGTGCAGCAGCTCCTATAATAATATAATATATCATATTGTGGTTAAACCTCGCACTGTTGTTATTAGCAATCCAGAAAATGTTTATGTCATAGTACCATTAACGTGGGATAGGTGGCGCGTGAGTAGTTTTAAGAAGTTATTAAAGTATGATAAATATAAATCCAAATAAAAAAGTATATATTTGAGTATAAATTTAACAACGAATACAAACCTCAAATGGCTACAACACTAACAATAATAGAATTCACACGAGCACTCACTTGATATAGCACGAAACTTTAAAAAAACCTAAAGTTGTTAGTAAACAAGGAGACTGTTACATCGAGTATGTCTGATCACAAATAGCAGCATGACGGTGAGGAGAGTGGCGGACCAACCACCTCCACAACACAATCTGGTATTGCAGTAATCATATAAGGTTATAATCTTACCTTTTCTTTCTATATTTTTATTAAGATAAAAATTCTATTATAAATAAAAATATGATAATAGTTTACTACTAGCCCTTTTATTGTTATAATTTAGAAAAAAAATATTGGCGCAATTCTCCGTTAAAGAAAACGTATAAATTATCAAGAACCTTCATTGGTAATTAATACTAATTCACTATTACATAAACTTTCAACCCTTGAGGAGAGGATCTTGCCATATAATCTAATAATAGAGTCACAACGAAAAAAAAGATACTCGATAATTACTATACAAAATATCTAATATAATTTTACGTAAAACCATAGCTTATGCAGTTCAGATTGAATTGCTCTTCTATATTTATAATTTTATACAAATTCAATAAGTAAATTTATCATTTAAAACTTCGTTAAAAAACCTGATCCCCAGTAGGTAAAATTACTGTAAGAATAGACAAATAGGCACGTAATTTGCATTGTGATTAGCAAGGTAAATAGCCTAATGTTTTTAAGCCGTTTTGTTCAATGCTTTATCACCGTTAGTTGATTTCGGAGAAAAATAAATTTGTATCCGTAATTTTAAGGGTTCCGTGCAACTCTTTACAACTGTTGAGTCACGTTGTGATGTCTATGCACTCCGGTTATCACTACGAGGTGGGTCAGAAGCTGGTCAGCATATTAAATAAAATAAAATAAAACTCTGGTATGTCACAGTCGTTTAATATTAAGAATATTGGTATTATAGAGATAAAGAAAGTTGCTATCTATCGCGAACCGGTGTTCAATGGTGCAGTGAAATTACGTGTGTGCTTCTTTGGTACACGTAATTGGGATAATAAAACAATTAAACAATTATAGTGAACATAAGTGGACGCTTTAAATAGATCTAACTAGAATTGGTGCTTGTAAAGTCATCAACTTTTCAATAGTACAGGAAAATCTGAAAATACAATAATAAAATGGGTTTTAAGTAAATGTTAAAGGTAAAAAACGTGAAGTTTTGACATCTTACGAAGCACGAGTTGTTGAAGTTGAAGGAATAACGTCGTGTAGTATAAATCAAACCCGCCCAAAACATAAATTTGCGTAATTACTGATGGTATGTATTATGATTGTGAGCACCCCACGTCTATTTCTACCACGAAGCAGCAATGCGTTTCGGTACAAAGGATGGGGCAGCAGTTATACAATATTAAAGTTTGATCACACGTCTCAAGGTGGGTGGCGGCACTTGCATTGTCATGACGAGTTCCAGCAGCCACTTAACCCAAGATGAGCCGAGAGTTAACTCAGCCACTTATACAGAAAAAAAGAATATTATTGCTTATATGTAACAATCTTTGGAAATATTCCAATCCATAACAATATCAAAATATAATACGACATTAACACGTACACTACTCCCATTAGTTCGCACCGGTTTCCTAACTAGGTATAACCCACTCAAACTGTGACGATCGTTACAAATCGAGTCGGAAACAAGTTTGTGTCAGATGTAAAATTTTATTGTCTTTAGATGCAGATTACGTTTCGTAAAAGCTCGTGACCACGTCCAGTTAACGTTGGGAAAGGACAGCTCGACTCGAACCATCTTGATGACCGTTTGACCGAATTCTTGTTGCCTTAGGATGCAAAATAATATTTATTTGCAAATGCATTTTTTTTTGATAAATGAGAACTATTTACCTAATCTAAAAACGCGTGGCGGTGAACGAATAACGATACCAAGGCTTTGAATGGTTTCATTCATGCAGATTAAATACACCGAGAGAGTAGTTACCTAAAAAAAACAGATCAACGACATTTTCAGCATTGAAAGGATATTTTTATCTCGAAATGTTGTTAAGCTAATCAAAACACTTTGCTTTGCATACAATCAATTAAAACCTCAACTATTTTTAAAACATTTCAAACAATTTAAAACAAATTTCGGTTGAATTTACAGCTAAATAAAAACGGTTTATTCTGTATGGCGATACCATTCCAATGTTGAACTCGCAAAACAAATTACACTTTTTAAATACTTATCCTTTTATTAAGTACATATTTGGAAAAAGGGGTTATTTTTTTAATTGCACTGCGTAGAATACAACAAAGGTTAGGTTAGGTTAGTTATTCCAATTTTTACGTTCGCTAAAATTATAATAAAATGATGTACTACTATTTTATTATCAATCTAGCAAAGGTATACGCAAGCAAAGCCACTGCGATCTACTCCTTTATCTACCTACTCTAATGCGTGCAAATCGGTACGTTTCCTAAGGTTGATTTTTTTTATCTATAAACAAATTGATTGCTTTTGAACTACACTTTTGAGTTTTACAAGTAATAAAGAACCATTGATGAATTTCCTCACTAATTTACGATATTCAGGAACTTTAAATTTAGTACGTATTTAACTACAGTACTTAGCACTAAAGCAAAGTAAAGTCGTCTAATTAAATAAATAGCCCTGGTATGATTACAACAATATGATACGGTGGTGAAGTGAATGTCGGCGGTAACGATGCGTGAGATGTTCAAATCATTTAGCAATTGGTTTTGCAACGGTGATAATTAAAAGTCCCAAGAGCACTCAATACACACACGTAGGTACTTATTATATTTATTCGTTCTTCTAAGAAATCTAAAAAAAATCACATAATATATATATCACTTTATTTATAATAATTAACATTCCCCTTAAACCGCCGTTTAATCCCTTGTTTAAATAGTTATAATTTTCATATACCATTAAAAAACTAGGAAAGAAAATGTTTTTGCTTTATAATTTCAAATTGCAAATAATCATGTCAGGTGTTCACTTACGGTATCAAAATAAACTTTAAAACGTAATAGGAGAAGTAAAAAAAATAATAGCATAAAATTGTTACGTCGATTTTATTTAAAAACGTTCAGGCAAACGTATTGCAAAATCCACTGAAAATCGATATTTTGCAAAATATTTAATAAACGTTTGATAGTAATGCTGACACACCCAATCGTTGTTTTGTAGGTACATTACATATTTACAACCTGATAGGCGGCAACCGAGAAATATAATTCCAGTTTCTGGTGTAATGTCACTCGTTTTCTCGATGACTCGATGTTATGTCATTGATATTCGCATACGTAATAGATATTAAGAAAGATGATCTAAAACTAACATATTATTTTACTTCTGCATGACACATATTTTAACTATTGATATTATCTACCGTATTGGATAATTATAAAAATTTTATTAGAACGAAGTTCCTTAGGGGACGATGCGGAAGGGTACCCTAACCAGGAAAAAACGTCCGTAACATAAGATTTTTATTAGTAATGCACACAGTGTACGACTTAACTTTGTAATAACGTACAAAAAATAACATATTTTTATTATATACTTTGAATAAATCATTGTGAATAAAATAAAGTTGATAACTTTGTAAAGTAGTTTTTTTTATTTTTATCAATAAAAAAATCATAATAAAAAATGTATACCCGCATAATTATTTTCTTTATACCTCGAATAGAACTTAAAATTAATATTTTTATAATCACGACCTTCGTTCCTATCCGGTGTCCCACGACACCACACATCTTTTTTTAATAAGTTTTGAATTGCTTTTTATTATACCTATTCGCTGGTAACTATTCCAGCTACTCCCGGTTGGATAGGTGAGTTCACGGGCTCAATCTGAGAGAATTTACTAACACTAGCCCTAGGAAGAGCAGTGCTTCGCAGAATCTACCACCGGATCGGAATCGCGACCCACTGAGGAGATCCGGCGAGAAGCTCGGCTGCCGGCTGCCTATGGATTAGTTAACTCTTCGTCATAATCGACGAGTTCGACGAGGACGGTGACCGTTGAATTGCATTACTGAACTCTACTTTAAAGAAACACCGAGCTAAAGCCAGTATCTGTGCTTATACATAATAATACGGAGTTTTGCTTCACTTGTTAAATGTTTGTGAAAATGGAACCTTGTATTTAAATGATTATTTATTCCTTAGATGAGTGGACGAGCTCAGCCCTCCCGGTGTTATGTGGTTACCGGAGCCCATAGACATCAACAACGTTAAAGCCGCCAGCCACCTTGAGACACGAGTTATAAGGTCTCAATTTTTAGAGTACAACGGCTGCCCCACCCTTCAAACCGAAACGCTTTACTGCTTCACGGTACAAATAGGCGGGATGATGGACACTAGTTTAAATAAATACGACAGTCAAATTCTAAAGAACCTAAATAAATTTCTTATATATTTATCTACATCTAAAAGCCAAATATATCTAAACAATAGGAATCGATCGATCAATCACAGTAATTAATTTAACATTAAGGTCTGATCTTATCAGAATCAAATAGAATATTAAAATGCTGTTTATCTATCTACATGTGCCTAGTTTAACGAGTAAATAATATTATTTTTAATAAAACAACGATCAAGGACTCTTGGAGTTGTTCGTGTAGTTAATTTTCAGTCAACCGATTATATGGATTGATCAGAAGGGTTGTATTTGTTAAATTGCTTAAAAATTATTACTACCTTAAATTGTCAATTAATTTTATGTTTGCTCGAGCAGAAGAAAGGATAAAATAATACGTTTGTGTTTTATGTGACTGTTAATATTTTTGGAAAATTCGATATTTCATTCCATTCATTTTATATTGTTAGAGTGAAACAATTTATTTACTTCCCAGCTGAAGGACATGGTATTTACTTCCTAACTACGGCTAATCATTTTAATCTTTTTTTTGTTAGAAAAATATCTATAATTTATTTAGTAACTTAAAATTACTAATAAAACATATTTTAATATCGCTTAGAATTCTCTAAGTTAACCTCGACATTGACAAATCATAAAAATTCGTCACGAACAATTTCTAAGACAATATTCACCTATAACTGCACGAGTTATTCGCTAGATTATGGATGCTTTACATAAAACAAAACCCAGATTAGCACAAAAAAATCGCAATAACGTAAAAAAACGACGCAAGTTGCAAATATTAAGGGCCAGCGTTAAGACGGTCGGCAAAGAATACTGTATGGAATCGTCCATTTGTGGACTCAAGCATCTGGTTGATGATAACACACCCATTATCGAAAGGTAAGTGGAATACGTAACATGAATCGGTGTGTAAGATTACTTATTGCAGATAAACTTGATGTGAACTTGTTTAGTTACATATTGGGCGCAGGCTTGTCGTAATTCAACTAAACGTATACTTGGATAGACTTGTGGTAAAATATGTTAGAGAGCGCTTATGCTTTAAGTAGGCACTGGTTATGTAATGTTGGTATTGGGTATTCTTTATGATGCAACTGATTAATTTATTATTCAGACACTTTATTAATTACTAGCTGACCAGGCAGGCTTCGTAGTGCCTCAATCGATAAATAAAAGACCGACGGGGGACACATCAAAGAAAAGCCAAATTGTTATTTTTATTTAATTCCGCACATTTTCATATTTATCTACCCTTTTAAACCTTCTCTGGACCTTCACAAATAATTCAAGACCAAAATTAGCCAAATCGGTCGAGCCGTTCTCGAGCGAGACTAACGAACAGCAATTCATTTTTATATACGTGCGAGGTTCAAGGATTATCCATTCTTTCTGGGACACCCTGTATATAGATATAGAATATAGATAGATATAGATTATGGTTTGAATAAAAAAAGTAAAATGTAACAAACACAGTTGACATTATTTTCGTGTTTTACAAAATGTTACTTTTGAATTTTATATCCAAAACAATTGTCCTTTCCAGATTTATTTGGGTTGTAATTCTGATTCTGGGTCTAGGGTGCTCAGTGTCTTTGGTGTGGATAACATTTTTAAAATACTACAGAGCGCCTTTAGTTACTACGCAGATGCCAGAAGGTATATCTGTCAGCAACATCATATTTCCAGCTGTTGGGATTTGTTCTAACAACAGAATTTCAAAGAGAGCAGTGACGGAATTGTCTAAACATTTGTACGTACTAATAATCTATTTTCAATCCATCCATCTATTCATCAGTTTTCAATCACATTCAACACCCAGGGCTGGATTTAAAAGCTCCGGAGGAACTAGAACTGCTGGTCCTTTATCATTTAAAATAAAATAAAAAAGATATATATTTTTTTCAAAGTGCACAGGCCTAATTTTTTAATTAGATCATTTTACTTATCACTATCAACGAATTCGTTTTATCGATTGAAGTAGAGTTAAAAGCTATGCAACTTTGAAATTGACAGATTAAAAGCAGAACGCAATAAAAAATATGATGAGGAGGAAATGATGCGATTATTGTTCGGGCTGGGTCAGCTTTATGACTACCAGACCTCGAACGACGGCAACATGTCACACATGACGCTTCACGAAGTGTTAGGAGATTACGATGTGCACGAGTTAATGCAGAGTGTACGTATTAGTTGTTTTGTCAAATAATGAGATTTTATTTATTTTATTTTATTTATTTCTACCGTGAAGCAGTAATGCGTTTCGGCTTGAAGGGCGGGACAGCCGTTGTAACTATACTGAGACCTTAGAACTTATATCTCAAGGTGGGTGGCGCATTTTCGTTGTAGATGTCTATGGGCTCCAGTAACCACTTAACACCAGGTGGGCTGTGAGCTTGTCCACTGATCTAAGCAATAAAAAAAATTTACAATATCTCTTTATAAATTAGATTTAGCTTTTGTAGGAAAAAAAATCTCTGTAAATACTATGTATGTGTGATCACAAATTATTTTTTATTAGTTAGATGAGTGGACAAGCTCACGGCCCACCTTGTGTTAAGTGGTTTCCAAATCCCACCTTGAGATACGATTTATAAGTTTCAGTTTTACAGTACAACCGCTATCGCAACCTACAACCCAAAACAGTTTACTGCTTTACGGCAGAAATAGGTTGGGTGTGTTGTATCTTGTAAACTCATAGACACCTTTTACAACTTAAATATCAATATATTTTGTAATAACGTCTTGTGGAAAGGTCAATATTAAGCGGAGTACAGCTATGTGAAAGAACAAATTTGTAAACCCCCATCGCTGGAATGAATATCATGTCAATGTCAATGTCAAAAAATCATAACTCACGTAACTCACTGGTTTTAGTTAACACCTAGGTGTGAAGATTTATTGCTCAGATGCGTTTGGAACACAGAACCAAAGAGCTGCCTCGATTTATTTGACTTTCGTCTTACAATTAACGGTTACTGCTGCACGTTCAACTACCTTCGGGTCTATGACAGCAAGTTTACTGAGTAAGATATTTATATTTAAATGAGATATATATTTTTGCTTGTATTTTTCAATTGAGTTCAAAGGATCTTAATCGTGATCTTAAAGCATGTAATCAGTTTCCAAACGATTCTTTTCCACCTGATGGTTGTCTGGAAGAGATCGCTCTTAGCGATAAGACCGCCAATAGTACTTATTTTTTTTGTATTTAATGTTTCCCATTGTCTCTTTTGTTGGTGTACAATAAAGCTCGCCCTCCTGTCCAGGTGAAACTGGAAAGACCTCCAGGCCACCAGTAATCCTTCAACTATAAAAAAAAACATAAATCTTACCAGTTACTAATCAGATAAAGTGGCGCCTACTACAAGTTATTACTAACGCCGGGTGTAGGAGGATCCCAGCATCTAATATAATAATATGCTAATCAACTTGTAGTGGCTTGTTAATTCCTTATATTTACACATTATAATTTTATTTGCACTAACCAAAGATATTAAATCTTCACAGGTAATTATTAATATTCGTCTTATTAGTCTGAATATTGGTGCACATTTCAAATACTAATTAATAAATATGCTATAATAATTTCGAGTAAAAATGTTTTTGGCGTATACTAAACTTATAAAACAACTTTGGTATATTCTGGTTATACTTCAAAACCATTGAAACAGTCTGGAATATTTACATTTAATGAATAAATTTATTAGTTCAAAGATAAAAAAAAAACAAATTGCTATAAAAAATCAATAAATTTTTAACGAATACCAGCATATATGCTTAGAATAATTATATTCTAATTACTATTGTAGGTTAATTATTCTAAGCATATAATAATATGTATATCAGCAGTATGTATATCAATTATCATTATTATCTGATAAATAAATTAATTATTATTATTCGAATAGGTCAGGAACTTCAAATTAAAGTAAATCACGAATTCGTATATCATAAATGGGTAAAAAACAACCGTAATCTCTTTTCTCAACTCGCGGTTTCAAATTTAATAACACAATGCACATATAATTAATATAATTATAATTGCACAGTTCGTTGCCTTACTCGAACCGTTGCCTAAATGGTGCCGATGGTGTCAATTTCAATGTCAATTTCAGTTTCTTAAATTTAGAATACATTTTTTTTTCTAGTAAAGACAGCTCGTCCCGCAGCATAGATATGTACAAATACGGTAATAAATCAACGTTTGATTTTGATACTGGATTAAAGATACTATTGAGACTCAACGAAAGTGATGATTTTTACTACAACGTGCCGATGCAAGGGGCACAGGTCAGAAGCGTAATTAAACATAATACATTCCCATCCAATAATCAGTTNGAATACATTTTTTTTTCTAGTAAAGACAGCTCGTCCCGCAGCATAGATATGTACAAATACGGTAATAAATCAACGTTTGATTTTGATACTGGATTAAAGATACTATTGAGACTCAACGAAAGTGATGATTTTTACTACAACGTGCCGATGCAAGGGGCACAGGTCAGAAGCGTAATTAAACATAATACATTCCCATCCAGTAATCAGTTGCACAAGTACTTATTTAGTATATTTCTGACTTCATGAATTGGTAACATCAACACTAGTGTGTATACAGTACATACCTAGACTAGATGTCTCAATGTCATCATTACTTCTGTGTTTTCGAAAAATATTACGCCATTCAAGGTACATTAATAAGTTCATACCTAATGGACAATCAAACCCAGATAGTTGTAGAAAATAATCAACAAAAGCACCGATTACGTAGATAGTAGATGTAAAAAGCTTAATTAGTACCGCACGGAAGCAATACCTTTAGAAAAAATACTTAACTGCTTTCTAGTAAATACTCAACAAAAGATTAAAACTATACATAGATAGATAGAAGTAATAGGCAGTTCTTGAGTCTTCAATTTCTCAAATATTTTTTTCAGTTACAATTTTCAGACGCGTACGATTTTCCTGATGGTCCAAGCGGAAGTTTTGCTATGCAGATAATTAGCTCCAGCGTACAGGTAACTCTCATAAAATGTTTAAATTCAAACATTGCAAAGCACGAGTGCTTCAATTCTCACTTGATAAGGCTTGAATACCGATAAAACGATAGGATGAAACTTCTACACTTTAGGACATTTTATACAAAATATAGAAGAGACATTTTTTTTTAATTGAATTTAAAAATTAGTATTTTAATATTGGTATTAGTTTTTAATAAACATTAATAGTATTTAATAAAGTTACACATTGAACGGCCATCTTTTAATGTGTCCAGCTAATTGATTCTCGGCGCTGTTCGACGCTACCATTTATAACGCTAGCAGCAGCCAAAGCCAACGTACTTGTCGGACTCTTCGAAAAGCTCGACGCAGTAAATTCATCAGCCCGCTGAGTTTCATATCACTCACACATCATATCACAAGGATGCTATTCCAATCCTACGATTGATTCGCGAAGCTGCCGCTGAACCCCTTGCTCTCCCCCACAGTGAATCTGCAAAAGCCTTTGGCTCAACCAAAAACATTGAGAGAATCAAAAAAAAAAAAAATTTACTGTTCAAGTTAAGATTCTCTATCGGAAACTTGCACGTACAAGATAAGTACATCAAAATCCCAGATAGTTTAAGGTATCTTTTCACCATTATTTTGACAGCCTGTCGAAAACCTTTTTCAAGGTGTGTTCACCTTTTTCAATTTCAAGGCGCATTTACGTTGTAGATGTCTATGGGTTTCAGTAACCACTTAACACCAGGTGGGCTGTGAGCTCGTCCACACATCTAGGCAATAAAAAAAAACAAGACAATACTTTTGTAAAATATTACCTAACTATCTGTAGATGACCGTTATGGTTTCGGCGAGTTTCACAGAAGCCTCTCGAGACATCCAACACGTTTCATTGAATTTGAGAAGGTGTAGATTCTATGACGAATCGGACTATCTGCCTTTCTACACATACAGCGATTGCATGTTGAAATGCAGGATGTCCTTCTTACTGGACAAATGTAATTGTACACCCTTTAATATGCCAAAAATGGAAAACGCGAGGACTTGTGACCTGCGGGATATTCCTTGTCTTCAGATTTACTATGGTATGTACTGTTAAAATGTATATTCTCATTTCTTTATATTTAAAACGAATTAAATTAAAACGATTTGTATTGTATTGAACTATTTGTATTTGAAAATGCCTAGTATCAGATTTGGGTGTACGGATTGTTAGAATCCTCACATCATCCCATATCCCACATCCTTGTATACATGTTTCTTTGGCATCATTTTTTTAATCATTTTAACATTTCCTATAAATGAATTATCTATATAAGGATATCTATTTAAGTAAACTTTTTTTTTTATAAAATTTACTGAATATATTCTGAAAATTTCAGCACAGTCTATCGCAGTTAGACCAGACGTAGAACCGATCTCGGAAGCTTTAGAATTGGATTTGGTTGGTGGAGGCATACCCTGCCCTATGTGCCTACCAACTTGCTCGAAGACCGCTTATAGTTACGATTTTAACAACATTATTATTTATCCTGAATATCTCAACACAGTTCCAGACAACGATAGAGAAAATTGGTTGTAAGTAACTACTGATTTGAAAAACATTCTTTTTTAAATTATTTCTATTTAATTTGTGTGATAACTTTCTAAATTAAGACAATGTACCTACGAGGTACAGTAATTATTACAATTTTTTTATTTTTTTATTGCTGAGATGGGTGGACGAGCTCACAGCCCACCTAGTGTTAAGTGGTTACTGGAGCCCATAGACATCCACAACGTAAATGCGCCACCCACCTTGAGATATAAGTTCTAAGGTCTCAAGTATAGTTACAACGGCTGCCCCACCCTTCAAACCGAAACACATTACTGCTTCACGGCAGAAATAGGCAGGGTGGTGGTACCCACCCGCGCGGACCCACAAGAGGTTCTACCACCAGTAAATAATAAATAGTATATAAAAAAAAAAATATTTATTTATCGTCAATAAAAGGTGTATCAATGAAGTCCGAGTTTAGCTATTTAATTTGAATATTTGAATATACAATCATTTACGTATTTCAAATGTCCTAAAAGCGCAACATTTAATATTTCCCTCATTCCTGAACGCCGCTTTCTCGATCTTAGATTTTGGGCTTCCGACCTTTTGTAACCAAAGCTTCATGTCATCAACAGCAGTCGAGGGTCCTTGAAGTTGACCTATAACAGTTCCTTGCGCAGTATTCATTACCCATCCCTTAAGTCCAAGTTCTAATGCTTTCTTTTGCGTAAACTTCCGGAAGAATACTCCTTGCACTTTTCCAAAAACTTCGAAATCCGCCGTTACACTATTTACTTTGTTCACTGCCATCATAACTCTAACTTCTTGTGATTTTTTTTCAAACCTGTCAAAAATAACTAATTTGTTAATTTTGTCGTTGTTTGGGAAACAAAGCTGTTTGTTTATTAAACAATCACCATGGAGTTTCTAAGCATTGTAAGGTTGTAAAGATCAGTTTACACATACATCGAAAATTATTAAGGTCATTTAAAGACACAATTTTATTTATTTCTACCTGTAGATTGGGAACAGCGTTTATATAATGTTCGTATTAAATAATACGGTATCATATCAATCACATCGCTCGATCTTGTGAAGTTTAGACACCGAACGAAAAGTTATAACATTAAACATTTCGAGCAGTATTGTGACACACGCTGCTTCTAAACTTCTAACGTCACAAGTTTCATAGCACCTGCGAATGTTGTTTCAGGCAAGGCGTGAATTTCACTGGAACTTCGATTGTTCACTTGAAATACGCAAGTGAAGTTGCCAACTGTTACGGACAGAATGTCATCATGAAATGGTTCGATCTAATCAGTAAGGTTTTGTTTGTGAAATATATCATGTATACTACATAATATGTATAATGTAGCATACGTATGACTATTTTTCGGCAAAAGCAATATTAGTTAGTAGCTTAGGAATACGGAGTAATAGTGAAAAATTCTCACAAAACTACATTTGCATACTGCATTACCGCATCTTTATTAATCTATTTATTTTATTTATAAATTTAGAAAACGTGTAGATTCATTATTTTTGTAAGATTTTTTAACACACTAATATAGCAGAAGCGTCAGAGATCTAAAACGGCTTATGTACATATTCGTGTCGTAGTGATGCGAATATCCCGTATTTTAAGTCTGGAATGTTTTACGATAACCTACCAATTATAATAAGTAAATATGTGTTCACGAACGACTTCCACAATGCAGGTATAATATCTTCTGATAAAAATCAGATCCGCAAAATTTTAAGCTTGCTTGTTTGCTAGTGGTGGGTATATTTTGAGCCACCACGCGTGGTTTCTCTCAACCTTACGTGCGCCGCGCAGTGATGAGTTGCAGTTTGAAGGGTGAGACATTCATTATACATTACAATTGAAATTCCGACCTCGGGGCTCAAGGTGGTTGGCAACATTCACATCTACGAGAGCTTCACATACTACATAAGGGCAGATGACGTGTGACCTCATCTGTTCATCTAAATTAATATAAAAACAAAACAACCATTGTTAAAATTAAATTTTTCGTTTTCGTGTTTATTTATACTCATTTTTTTTATCAGGTAACATCGGCTCCACTTGCGGCTTTGTGACCGGCTTCAGTTTTGTTTCCGTGCTCGAGTTCATTTACTTTTTTACTGTGAAATTATTCCGTGAAATTGAAGCACGAAAGCAACAAAACAATACCTTTAATCATTCTAAAAATGAAAAGATTAATAAATATCCAAAGATATATTGGAATGAACTAACAGGATCAACGCCTCGATTACAGCCCCAATTTCTGATGAACCCACGAGTAAAACGTTTGATGGAAAATTAGAGTCAATTATAGTAGAAATAACATAACATTTTACTTGTAGATTTTATTTATAGAGCTTAACTTCTACTTAAAATAATAATTTAGGTCATAGCGAGGTCCCAGTGAAGGCAGAAAAGAATTAATTGATATTTAGGGCTATATATTATCCCAGGGGAGTACCGCTATATGGCATGTTGATATAAAAAGCCCCCCACTTAGCGAGTGCGTGCGCCAAGCCTCGTTCGCAAACTATGGAAAACATCTCTGTTAAGGCTTTAATAAACAAGAATTGCACTTGACCACGTCTGCTCTGCCAAGAGTAACCGAGTATGATGATGATATAAGCATCTTTGTTCTATTAGTTGTATCAGTACACTGTTTGATGGCGAAAATATTGGAACAACACTTTAAGAAGATTACCATACAATTTAACGGATTATAATTAAACATGGTATAGTTGTTGTTGGCGCTCCAGAGAGGATTTATTTGTCGGAGTAGAATGAAAAGAAGATAGTAGCACAAGTAGTTATAAGAAGTTTGTTCTGTATTAGCTTATAGTCATAGCAGAGCGTGACCTGGTTTCGCTATTATTAACAAACAAGAAAAAAACAAATCTGCTTGCAATAGGCTATCGACTAATAATATATCATTATTGCACAAATATATCAAGTTCCACTCTGGTTGTCACAAAATCCTACCTAATATCTGTTGATTTAATCTAAAGGATAATGTTGAATAAATGGAACACCTGTTCCGATCCCAGATAGATTATAATCTTGTAATTCAAATATAATTGTTGTCTTTTGTGCACGAAATAAAGAATTGATGCTTGTAATTTTCGTTTCAATACCAGCAAGCTACCTCAGTTATATACATTCTTCACAGCACATTCAGATTATTACAGCGTGACATTTCGATGGTATCAAATTAAGTCACTACTTTAATTTGTACTTATCAAAATACTTATTTGAAAGAAACAAAATAAACTTCCAACATGAGTGCAAATGAATACCGCAAGAGATATTTTGATATTTGGTGGAATGGTATAAAAAGTCTGCCTCATACGACTTCAATACACGGGTTTAAGTTTATAGCTGATACTAAACGACACTGGGTAGAAAGGTAAAAACGCACGTGTATAATAAAAATAAATATTTATTAGCCATCACGTTTTTTCGGTAGATCGTTAAGATACGCGTACCTTAACGATCTACCGAAAAAACGCACCTATTAATTATTGTAATATTCACAAAATAAAATTATAATTCGTTTATTGTTTCAAGTCCGGTAATTAAATTTAAATTCGCCAAAATTTTATTTGACTTTATAATATATTCCCTACTAAAAATATATTTTCGTAACAAAGTGGTGGTACATTACTGGTGGTAGGACCTCTTGTGAGTCCGCGCGGGTGGGTACCACCACCCTGCCTATTTCTGCCGTGAAGCAATAATGCGTTTCGGTTTGAAGGGTGGGGCAGCCGTTGTAACTTACTTGAGACCTTAGAACTTATATATCAAGGTGGGTGGCGCATTTACGTTGTGGATGTCTATGGGCTCCAGTAACCACTTAACACCAGGTGGGCTGTGAGCTCGTGCACCCATCTAAGCAATAAAAAAAAAACAAAGTTGTAATATAAATTACTTTAGAATATCCATCACAAGGCTTACAACTTTTTCATTTATTCCTCAATAACACCTAAACATTATCACTAAATCCTAACATTTTAAAATGCCTAATAACATTGAGCGATGACAAAGTAATTTAACGGTGCCCGACGGTAAGTAAAAATGAAGACATTGCATTTTCAACTGAAGGACCTGAAAGTTTCAGTATTATATCGCTTAATTGTCACGAGATAGAAGGGATAGAGTAAATTAGAGAAACAAATTGCCTTACAGGATCTTTTGGTTGGTATTCGTAGCACTCTCATGGTATGCTTCGTCATTACTGATAGCGGCTCAGTATGACGCGTATCTAAACAACCCTATTTCATTTGTGGTGGAAACAACTTACAAAGATTGGAATACATATTTTCCCGCCGTCGCTGTATGCGAAAACGACAATTCAAAACGTGCTGAAGAAATATCTGACAGGTGAATAAAGAAGAACAATTGGTATAAATTAGAGTATATGTGCGTGGGATTTTTTTTTCAAGGCCTAGCAATCCAGCGATCCTCCCATTTGCTAAGTAATTACGATCAACACACCGGTAATGCCCAGAGTACCGAAAAGCCGTCGAGGACTCTTTTTAAGCCTTGTTTAATTATGAATACAGCAAAAGCCTTATGTTAAAGAAAGAAAAAAGTGTAAAAAATATATAAACATGTGTGCAATTTCCAGTTATGCCTTTCTATGCTTCTTAAACTTTCAGTTTGTGGGGTCAAGAACATGATTTTAACATAGAGGAAGTTTTAAAGGAATGGGCATTTTTCAAAGGCGTCACATACTACACCTCCGAATTTTGTAATGTAGAAAATGGAGAAGTTTTACCAGAGTGCGTCGAATCTAATCTAACTTATTATGCCAATTTGGTAGGTTAACATATTATCATAAAATGTTTTTTTTTGTAATCATCATCTCATTTCCTATGTTATTAGATTTAATTGTGATGTTTAAATCTTTCACTTCGAATCTTCGCTGAAAATTATTTATTTCTCACATGAATGACACAAATCCATTCCTAAGTTCTTGACGAAGAAAATCTTTTGATAACATGCTCAGCATGTCTCCGTAAATACGGTAATCGCCAATGGGACCATAATTTTGATGTCTGAATTGCTCCTTCATTTTAATGGAAAGAGAAACGTAGAAAATTGGTCTAATAATATTTTGGTAAAGAAAGATTGGGGATTTGTTTCAAGGATGTGTACTTAATAGTACCAATATACTACCTATGTTTTTTGTTATAATAATTATTTATCTTCTAGGTAAGAAGTACCTGTAAAGAAAGTTTATCAGACTGTTCTTGGAACGGCGAAGCTTTTGAGTGTTGTGATTATTTCCGACCTTTGGATACTGAACTAGGCACGTGTTACGCCATCAACTCTATTCAAGGAAGGTAATTGTAGGATATACTACCTATGTTTCGTGTTTTTCATGTTTTCATGTTTCTTTTGTCTAATTACCTTGTGTTTCTATAAATTAAATACTTGTATAAATAAATGGGTTATTAATAAATTAATGATTGTAGTAAACAATATATTTTATCTTTACATTTCGTAAACAAACCTTTCACATTCGATGGCCCGAAGACTATGAGTTTCTCCTGTATTACAAAGATGCCGAACACGCGGTAAACCAGCTGGATTTATTCAAACTCCGAATGTAAAATATGAAAATATGTATTAAAAAGATATGTGGTATAATAAATTCAAAATGGAACCCCGATAACGTAATTGAAGTCACTAATAAAATTTAGCAACATGACAAGCATCTCTAATCGAATATGTTACAAAAATTTACAAAAAACTGTCAGAATTATCCTTTGTTACTTATACTTTGTTACATAAAGTGCAATAGGCTGTAACTATTAAGTTAAGCCAGTGAGCCTAGACTTTTAGAAACTAAAATTAGAGTCTCTAAGGCATCAATTTCAATTTCGATAACTAACATAAAACTAAAGCCCGATTGAATTCATTGAACAATTGGAATTTCAGAGAATCGAATCCGCCATTTCTACGAATGGTAAGCAACAGGACTACGGGTCCTGGAGTGCTGAGGTTCAATGTCCTAATACCCGCTAATGTTTACGTTCTAAACGAAGAAGACGTACCAGCTCTAACAACAATTGGATCAGATGTATTGATTGTGGGTCCAGAAATGTTTCACAGGTTCTAATTTCATTTTATGGTACTGAAAGTAGCACCCATATTTATAACTATTTGTTTATCTAAATAAATAAATAATTATAATATGTTAGGAATATCCCGCGTTTCCGCATGCATTAAGTATATCTGGATTAAACAATATGAGTACAACTTGAAATACAACTGAAATTAATGAAACAATATAAATAGTAATGATGATGAGAATATGTAAATTCCATTTGAACAAACCTCATGAATTAATTTCGTCAATATAGGTGTAATTTTTTAATATTTTCAGACGGTACATAGCTCTTAGAAACATTGAAAATGATTCCGGGACCCGTTCTATCGCTCCGGAGAAGCGCAAATGTCGATACAACGATGAAAATTTTTTGGACGTGTATCGCCACTATTCTTATACAGCGTGCACCGTACAATGCCGAAAAGACGCCCAAATGCGTTTCTGTAATTGTTCTAATTATTTCATGCCGAATGTACCGGAACATCTCAAATGCAATGTTAGCGGAATTATATGCCTAAATAATTATGTCAACATATTAACCGTGAGTATTTATTATTGTGGTTGTTAATTAAATTTATTTATAAATACAATTAATGTGTAAACAAAGGTCAAGACTTTATTACATCTTAGATTGAGAAAATAATCAATGGGATATTTTCCAAACTTCCATTAGGAACACCTAATGCGAATGCATTGAGCAGACACAAATTAAAGATAAACGGCGTTGAAAGGAACTAACTGAAAGTCTTAGTCTAGTAAATATATTTGTAAAGCTGTAAGTCTACTAGGATCTAGTGTAGGTGTAGACCGATTCTGAAATACTTTATTTCCATCGAAGGCAAAAGCATGAGCATAGCGTGACGCCACCCTCCATTTCTTCTTCTTATCAGCCCACGTCCACTGCTGGACATAGGCCTCCCCCAAGCCTCGCCACAAAGACCGGTCCTGCGCTGCCTGCATCCAGCGGATCCCCGCGAACCTCGATAGATCGTCGGTCCATCTTGTGGGAGGCCTACCCATGCTACGTCTTCCGGTACGCGGTCGCCACTCAAGAACTTACTGGCCCCAACGGCCATCCGTTCTACGAGCAATGTGTCCTGCCCACTACCACTTCAACGTCACAATCCTTTGGGCTATGTATGTTACCATGGTTTTCCTGCGAATCTCCTCATTTCTGATCTGATCTCGCAGGGAAATTCCGAGCATAGCCCTTTCCATTGCTCTTTGGGTGACCTTGACTGCATGCCAAGCGTGGCGATTATGGCAGCCCCCCCAACATGGCTGACACAAATAAATAAAACCCTCCATTTAAATGAAAATAAATAAAGCTGTGCATTGAAATACTCTGTGCTCCTGGCTTTGCTTGTTATGTGTCCATCAGCGACGAAGACCACTCATCATCAGGTGGGCCAGCATACAACTCGCGGTTGGAGGCATTATAAAAATCGTCAGGATACATTTGCAATACGAAATAAAATAGAGGAGTACGAATGTTCTTCCGTAGGCCATACTACCTAACACAAACCTAAAATTCGTAAATTTTGTGTGCAGGTACTGAAAGCACCATGGTCATCGAGACCTGGTCTGTATTGCAATTGTTTACCGTCTTGTACAGAAGCAGAGATTTCCGTCATTAATGATTTAAAAGACGCCACTGCCGAAGACTATGCCACTGTAGAAATAGAACTAGCGATGTTGCCATCCGAGCGGTACAGGAGGAATGTCGTAAGAGGAATACTTGACCTAGTCGGTTGGTTTTACAAATGTATTCAAAAAATTGCCAAAAAAAAATTGCGCCATAACTTAGATAGTAATATTATATTTTGCTTGACTACTGGTGGTATGAAGTATTGAGAGTCCGTTAGATTAGGTACCACCATCCTGCCTATTTCTATCGTGAAGCAGTAATGCGTTTCGGTCTGAAGGGTGAGGCAGCCGTTATAACAATTGAGATTTCGACCTCATTCATGTCCCAAAGTTAGTGACTGCATTAATGTTCTCTATGGGCTAATGTAAACATTTTACACGAAGTAGACCATGAGATCGTTCTTCTAACTGTAGAGTAAATATATGTACATAATATGTATAATTTATTATTATGTATCAGTGTCTACAGGTGGAACAGGAGGTCTATTCCTTGGCGCAAGTATCCTAAGTTTCGTAGAGCTATTATACATATTGCTGATCAGACCTTTCTGCGACATATACAGCCAGAGAGAAGACGATCCGTGGTACAGGAAATACGGAACACGTCGGCTCGAAGACAATAAATATACTCCGAATTGGAAGTGGAATTATTTTAGATCGAAATCTTACTACACAACGAGACCTTTGAGAAGCACTAGTAAATTGACATCACGCGATTTTTATTCCAAAAAAATATAGAAAGCTAATTTACCTATTCAAAGTTTTGAAATTTCCACCTAAACCTAGAAATGCACGAAATTTTTATGATTTGCTGAAGTCATTTATAAACTGTTGTATTAAAATAAAGTTTTGTTTCATATATATTTTATTTTAATTATCATACAAAATAATATTATGATATATGTAATTACAAAAATAAACTAAAAATAAAAGCTTATGCAAGTCATTTTATTTTTGTGATAATGCAAAAGGTTCCCCTGTAATTACGTCTTGATTAATGCTTAAATAACTTTACTATTTATAAATCTTTAAAAAGCCTGCAGCTTCCATATATTAGTAATATTTATTTGAATAGATTTTACTGTTTTTTTTTACAAAGTATGCATTTTTCTTAACTTGCACAAGCTCCTTAAAACTAACTTACAATTACACTAGCCTGATCTCTAATGATGAATATGATTATTTACAATGTATTTTTTGTTGATATGAATGGATAGTTTGCAAGTTTACGGCCCCATCAATATTAACGTCATCATAGAAACCCTAATGAATTCGATGATTTACCAAAGATGTAATAACTTTATGCGAACTGGTAGTATGGATACTATTAAGCCTTTTTTTAAATTAAATTCAAAATAGATAAACATTTTTTGTTTATATTTAACGAAGGCAAACAACATATATAAAACAATGTTTTTCATTTTGTTCCTCTTTTCAATTTAAAAATACCAGCTAGACACAGTCTTCCTCAGTTTCATTAACCTACATTGACTGACATAATTATTTTGCTACAGACATTCACTGCAGCTTAACAATATCTAATGAATTAATATTGATATTGATTTCATTTTCCATTTCAAAGCATCACATCATCGTGTCAAATTGTCGTTGCTTATGGACAAATAGTACTGAAATTATGTTTTAAGTTATGCTCATTATTGCGAAATAACGGAATAGATTCCGTTATTTAACTGCCTCGTTAGTTAGAACTTGTTATGGCGTAGAGCTCCTTTTGATAGATAGGAAAGATCAATGGACAAACTATTGACACATCTGGTGTTAAAAGGGCATGAAAGGGCATTAAAAGGGCAAAATATATCTTTTGAATGCCACCAGCTTGTGCCATGAGGTCGAAATTTTAATCACATTCGCACAAATGCCTTCTTAATAAGCCGAATAGTTTTTTACCGACTGATAGGTAAGACGCATATTTTTCTTCGAGGCAAACGTAATTTTTGGAGGCTTCATCATGTAATCAAACGATATCTAATTTATTTTCATAAACTTTTACTAGAATCCTCAAAAATCTTATACAACTTGTTACTAGATTTAGATGTCATTTTCCTGAAAACACTTCATTTGCAATTTAATGTACCTGCACTGTCAACAAATTCTAATGATGACCATCCCAGTATGCAACTCACAAATAAAATGTTGAGTTACAAACTGCAATGCAAACAACCAAATATCATCCTACAATACCACTCTTATTTATGTTTAAGCTAATTGCTATCATTTAAATACTCAACTTCTATATTTAATATGACAAGATGTGCCTAGATTGAGTAAAAACAAACATTTACTATGAACCATTTCAAGGCAATTAAAAAAAATAGTATCATCCTTTTCCACTTACTCTAAATCAGAGCTGTATCAGTCACGTTTGTTTAATTGAAACAATTCAATAATGTTCGGTCCACAGTTAAGACATCACTTTTGATATATGGAATATCATTGTCAATGGCTACATAATGTTATTCTTGTGCTTTGCCTGCTTCTGTAATAGATTCGTACTGTTCCTTGTCGAGCTCTGTAACTGTGAGCGTACCGTCGGGCAACAATAAGACGACTCGCCGCGTTCCACCTACGCAAAAAACATTTGATATAGTCATTACAATTTTAAAGAATAACGACTATAAAGCATTTCACGCGCGGACATCTTGAATGCTCGGGGCGGAGTCATGTCTCTGCTTAACTCAAAAACTTAAAACCTCGTTTCAAGGAACATAAATTGTGTCTTGGTGATATTGAAATCATAATAGCATTGAATAGGAAGTTCTCTTTGATCATAAGATCGTATTTAATTTTGACAATCAAGCTTAATTTTCAATGTTAATCAATGAATTACAACCGTATTTCAAAATGCAATTAGCATTACAGTATCACCATCGATATGTACTAGAGTGGTGGAGTAGTGTTTATACCAGGACTGGGTAGGTCAGTCTGCAGCAGCTGCGCGACGACTTGCGTGGCGTCCTCGCCGGGCTCGCCCTCGACCTGCACCGCGACCTGCTGCAGCGGACCGTCGCTCGGCACCAGCTGCGCCAGGCCCGACCCGTCGATCGCCAGTACATCCTGCATAAAGGGCAACCGAACCATCATTCAGATGCTGCAGGGAAATCCTCCGAATTACGTGGAAATGGAGACTGCTTGAGTTTATTTTGGATAGTACGAAATATTAGTATACAAATTAATACAATTTTGAATTAATACACAAAATAATGCAATTGTTTTTATTCCCATGTAATGCATGTGCAGCACATGTCCACTATATCTAAACTGTATCTTATTTTTATAGTCAAACTAGCGACCCGCCCTTGCTTCACTTCGGAAACTGTAATTTATTATTGATTTTTGCACTATTTAATGGATGTTATTATACATATTATGAACCTTTCTCTTCAATCACTCTATCTATTAAAAAAAAACCGCATCAAAATCCGTTGCTTAGTTTTACAGATTTAAGCATACATAGGGATATAGGGACAGAGAAATCGACTTTGTGCTATACTATGTAGTGATACTCATGTTGGATATGTGTCATACGATTGTACAAATATTACATACCTGTCCATCTTCTCTAGTAACGTACATGACGTCACCTTCACCCTCGACGGCTCCCTCCACTGCACCCTCGACGCCTTCCGCAGCCACCAATAACGTTTGCCCAGCCTCGTTTTCACCAGCCACCTGTCATTTGACAAAACGTGAGCATTAAATATTTTAAGAGTTGCAGTTTATTTTCAAAATCTTGATTCCATTATTTCACTAGTGGCATAGCAATACTCATTGGCAAAAATATGCTACACTTTGGGCATTTACAGACAGACCAGCACGGTGGTGTGGGTTTCTCTAAGAATTGTCCTCATTTCATACGATGACACCGGCTAATTTCAATTATAGTGTAAATGTCACGACAGCATGTCTAATCACATTACACCTGATTTGATCAATGACACGTGTAAGCAATGAGGATACGAAAAAATGTAGTAAAAACTTTAAAGAATTCTTTAATTTCCTTTTAAATATCAAACCTATAAAAATCTTTTAAAGTTATCGTAGCTTAAAGTATAAGACGCATGGTGCATTCGTACCGAGGAATATGACTGTGCCGGTGTTTGAATTTCGCAGGCATGTACCAATTTTTCTAACGAAATTTGTATTTAAGAAATGTTCACGAATGTCTTCCGTGCTGAAGGAATTCGTGTAATAAAAATGAGACCCGCAAAAATCTTTTCGCAATTACTTGTAGCAGGGTGAGCCCACACGGGTAGATGCCACCACTGTATCTGTACCACCACTGTATGTGAAGTACTAATTTGTTTCAGTTCGGCTGAGGCAGCCGTTATACTCAAAAACTGAGGAGACTCAGAATTCATGCTTCAAGGTAGGGTGGCGGCATCTACGTTGTTGATGTCTATGGGCTGTGGTATCCACTTAAAACCAAATAGTCGTGTGCTCGTTCAGCCGTCTAAGCAAAAAAACCCTCTAGCATTATATTGCTCAGGTACGGAAACTTTTTATTTTTGTTATTCGTATAATTAATTACCTGGTACAACACACCATCCTCTCCCCGAATCATGATAGGCGCGTGTCCCGCGTCTAATAACCCAACTTCTTCACTTTCATCGACACCAACACCTTCTTCTAAAAGTTGTTTCACTGCACTAGCTTCTACTTTCACTTCAGTCTGGTAAAATGAGAACAGCATTATTAGTTAGTTAATATAAAAAAACATAACAAATTATCATAAAATAATTTTTGCATAAAATATGTTATTATTTTTATTTACAAAACTCATTAGCACCTTCTTATGGTATGCACGATAAAAAACTCAAGACCCAGTTCTTGCACGAGTCCGTGAGCTTAGGACCATAGTTGATTCGAATGATTTTGAATGGAGTGTTTAATTTTATTACCCTTCAAACTTTTATTGCATAATATAGTTGTTGTACTTACGCCGTCGTCGTCTGTGAGTACTGGCAGAGACGGTTGAGCGCCCTCACCTTGTACGAGCATCCCCGTAGTTCCTCCAGGTGACATTTCAACCTGTCAAATATTTTTGGTTATCTCTTACTAAGGCAGTATTAGACGATAACAAATTTAAAAAAAAAAAAATTTGTTATGCATTAAACTCAATATGTCTTTGTGCGTTGCGTTGCGAACAATGTTCTTTTTAAGTTCATGCTCAATGAAGGAATTATTAAAATGCGCTTAAATTAATTTTTTTCTGTTTTTCCCCTCTTTTATAATGTAATTCGGGATGAGTTTTACATATTTTTGCTATACTGTAGACATGAGTGACGACGTGAACTCTGAACCATATTTTTATACATAAAATTTTCCTTTTGAGTGAGCTATCGATTTCTCTCAAATGATGAAACTTCATAACGAATCGTTTGCTTAAGTTAAGACTATATATGTGTCTGTAAAAATGTAATCACAAAAAAAAAAACAATAAAAAATTGCAATAGTAATTGTTCTGAGATGCAAGTTATATTTTGGTAGAAGTGGTGTCAGTAGCGGTACCTTCATGAGTAGCGTGGCGGGCGCGGATGTGGGCGGCGGAGTGAGGGGCGCAGGGGGCGGAGTGGGCGGCGGCGTGGGCTCGCCCTCGGCGCGCGCGAGGCGGCGCCCGGTCAGCGGACACAGCGTCAGCTCCCGCGGCGGACTGTCCGGGGGCAGCGGCCCGAGGTCGCGCGGGAACGGGTCCTCGATGCCGTCCGATGTGTCCGACGACGCATCTGACTACAACGTCAAAATAATCACATTCAGAAACATACTACATGCATGCCGAAAATTTGTTATTTGATAAAATAACTAAAGCTCCTGATATTCCAAAAGGATCACAGCAATTTTTAACATTTTATATTAAAATGTACCTGTTCAAAATCAAATGATACTGGTACAGGTGCTTTGTCTCTGATACGAACGATATTTCCACCTGCTGTGGATATAGAGTAACCACCGCGGCCCCGCCCCCGACTGCTTCCACCACGACGTAGCAAGCTATCCCCCTGAAACGCGACTATTTTTTATTTTCAATTTCAGGAATTATTCAAGATAGTAAAATAAAAGAAAGACATAACATTTATGTAATAAAATAAATGACCTCTTTTATTGCTCTCAAAGCAATCATACAGCCTTTGCATTGAAGAATGCTTAACGTCGCTGATTCACGTCAACAATGCCGTGGGCAGAATCAAACATTTTGTGTATTGGTTGCCGTAATGATACTAATTTTTCTTCCAGTCTTATATTTTGTTTGCAATACCAAATAATTTCACAGGACGTCAAATCATTAACTTTGCTTCTACTTATCATTATTTAAACCAGTATTAATTAGTAAATATTGGACTTTAAATTCAGTCTCAACAAAATGATAGAAGTTTTCTGTGCCCCCTTTACCAATTTCAGACTTACTTGAGCAAGTTTCTTATTGAGGATAGTTACAGGTGACTTATCAGAACTAATTCCAGCTGGCCGCTGTATTGTGCGCTGAATGATCTTTTGTCCTGATGGTGTTATTATTGTTTTTTCTGTAACTTGCTGACCTCCCGAGGTAAATGTTTTCTTTATCTAGAAAATAAATATTACATATTATATAATCTATTATAAAGAAATTACCAGAAATATAAGTTCGATTATAATAGTTGTCAAAAGTGTGTATAAGTGAGAAGTTACTTTTACTTTTTAACTATATAAATGAATAATGTTTTCTGTTTATTTCGGGTTTGAAGATTTATTCCGAGTTTTTTTCTACAGCAACTATTCAGTATACTATGAAAATTTCGCACTTAACAATATCCTATGTATATATATTATATGCTTTTTATTTTTTATTGTATCATTTTCCATTCCACAATGTTTATAATATATGCATTATTCTAATTTTTGTTTTATTGTGTCTGTACGTACGAATTTAATGAAATAGCAGAAAATAAAATGTATGATGTTCCCCAAAGTTTGAATATTAAAATAAAAGCTATTCTATATATTCCAAATAATATTACCTGTGACGGTATTGGTGGACGGGGTGATGATGAAATTTTTTTGGTTTCCTCCACTTTCTGTAAGTTATAAAAAGTATTGGGTTTCAAAAAAACTGTTTAGCCTACTGAGTTTCTCGCCGGATTTTCTCAGAGGGTCGCGATTCCGATCCGGTGGTAGATTCTCCGAAGCACTGCTCTTGCTAGGGCTAGTGTTAGCAAATTCTCTCAGGTTAAACCCGTGAGCTCACCTACCAGTCCGGGCGTAGCTGGAATAGCCCCTCAGGCTATCAGATCCCCCCCCCCGGGTAAAGGTAGGGGGAAAAAACGGTTAAAAAAAAGTATTACTAACATTAGGTATTTAAATCCTTCGGGTTTCGCGAGTCATAGATATAATTAAAACTACTACTACTACAGTTTAATCTCGCATTTTTTATTATCCTTATATTATTATTTCCGACGTTTCGAATACTTTACAAACTGCGAGAAAACCGTGGTTGTCCGTTGACATTTAGAAAAGACAGAACATACTCATTTGCAGAAATAGGTAGGGTGGTGGTACCTACCCGTGCGGACTCACAAGAGGTTCTATACCTACTACCAGTAAAAAATATATGTATACCGCTATAAATATAGTATAATATGTATTTGTTGTACCAGTGAATACTAACCTTAATCGTGGTTTGACGAAATTATTATTCACTTTAACGGTTTCATTAATCATCATCATTCAAATAAAAATGATAAAGATGTGTCATCAGTATAATACCAAAGTTTCAACAAAATTTGGTATCAATGACTTCCATTTATGGAATATTTTATTTGTGAGTCGCTAAAATCCGTGCTTTCTGGTAGTTTCAAAAACGTTTAAAATTTGTCTTTAATAATAAGTCAATAACCACCTGTTTTGCAGCCATTATCTGTTTTCTAATAGCATCCTGGTCAATATTAAGACCCGGTCCTAATTTCCCTGGAGAATCAATCTTCATTATCCCTGAGCTTTTGGACATTATGTACACTCCTAAAATGAAATAAGTTATTTTATTATAGTACAAAGATGGCCAACACGCGGCCCGCCAAACATTTCTAAAATTGAATTTATTTTATTGACTTTCTCCCATCGCGGTAGGCAGCAGCTTGGCTCTGCCCCTGGCATTGCTGAGGTCCATGGGCGACGGTAACCACTCACCTTCAGGTGGGCCGTATGCTCGTCTGCCTACAAAGGCAATAAAAAAAAACAATTCGCTTTTGTTCTTTCCTTGTTTGTTTTTATCTTGCATTAAGTACATAATATATGAAATCTTTACTTCTTTTTTAGTTTTATAATTTTTATTCTAATATTTATTATAAGTAAAGTGACGTTAATTATGTGCGGCCCGCCAAAAAAATTCAAATTTTAATAGGCCCATGTATTAAACCCCTCACCCTGTTACAGTATATATATAATGTTCATTATTATAAAACTGTAACATAAATGTCTACACACGCAGTTGTTACGGTATATATGAAGGTATTCTCTCTCTATTCGTGATGTGTTTGAGCTCCGATAACCGCGCACGCATACTATAAGCGGCTCTGATCGTTCTCGGGGGAAAAAGAGCATATCAACATGGCAACACCGCGCTTGCAACTCCATACGCAGTTTTGTATTTTTATTACTAACCTGTAGAAAGATTAGGCATATGTTTAGGGTCAACTTTAATAACCCCTTTGATGTTCGGCATACCCTTCCCGCCCAGACCGAGCGATTTTACCAGCTCAGGGTCTAACGTTGACTTTGGTGAAGATTGTCCATTCACTATCTTCTTCTCATCTACAATTAATTACATGTTTAAATTTTACAAAACAAAAAAAAAACAATCAAAGCTCCACCTTGGCAAGGATAAACAGAGTACTTTTCAAAATTTTAATAGGGGCTATTATTATCTTTCACCGAGCGCTCTCACTTTCTCCAATAATATCACAGTTGGATATTTTTGCTGTTACTGTATATTATTATAGCATCTTGTAGATTTATATTCGCTTATATTTGTTATAGAGAGTCCGAGAGTAACGCTGTCTGATGTATTTTTTTTGTAAGAATCAGAGTTCAATTTTGTTTCATAAGATCCTGATAAATAAGTTCTATTCTAAGTGTCAGCTTTTACAGTACAACGACTGCTCCATCTTTCAAACTGGAACGCATTACGGCTTCGCAGCAGAAATAAGCAGGATGGTGGCAACTACCCAAGCGGGCTTACAATACGCTCTATAACCAGTAAACCACCAGGATTCAGAGCGAAGCCTCAATGCTACATACGTTTTGATTCAAGATCCGAGAAGTCTTCGTCTTCACTGGACATCTCCCTCTTGACTTTCTTGGACATCGGTTCGCCATCCTCTACACCGCACCATGCCTTCACTTGATCTAGTGCACGAACTTTGCTCGTACGTTGTAAGCGCCTTTATGGTAAATTACATTTCTATAGTTTTACAATAATTAATGCTTTTATATACTTTTTAACTATCGGCACTTGAAAGGCAAACGTGACTAAGCGACAATAACTGCTTTATATATAAATGATAGGCAATAACCATATTCGATGAGCAAAGAAAATATATTTCTAGGTCTATAAAATCATTTCAATCCTACAGCTAGATTCGTTAAAATAGAATTTTTTTCAGGTATTTCAACTTTAATTAGTCTACTGTAAAGTTCACGCATTCTCGCTTAGACACGTTTGCCTTTCAAGCGTCGTTATATATCAACTATGATATAAACTAGTCAACTATGACTAGAACTATGTTAGGCCATTACTGAAACTTATTGATGCCATTGGAAGAAAGAAGAGGAAAATTCATTATCTACCTCAAAGCATGAGGTAAAAATTCAATTCTTGTTTGAAATGGAATTGCTTTTTTGCAAAAATAGGCACAGAAAAGGGCAGCTCATGCCAGCTTACAACATGGCTTGTTTTAATAAGCTTGATTTTATATTATATTAAGTTGAAAATTTTAACTGTATAAATTATCAAATATCAAGGTATTGAACATGATAACATTTGATACACTTTAATTAATATTCACAAACTAGGGGATGTCACAAAGCATGAGTTTTCAAAAATTCTCAATTTATTTCAATATGTAAGTTGAAATTCTGACTGTTTACAACAATAAACTTACCCTGAAGGTGTGACTGGACTCTCTGTTTTCTTTATAACCTGCTTCACAACCTGTGGCAAAGGTGTGTTTGTCTGTTTCACCTAGTTTGTCAACGAAAACCATTTTGATATAAAGATTTTTTTATAAATTAGCAATTTATAAAAGAATTAGCAGTACTCATGTAGTTGCAGCAGTACATGTGTGCTACAATTTGACATTTGAAAGCAAACATTTTCGATTTTAGCCTATTCATTTATCATAGATTAGAATGTTTTGTTTCACTGTTTGAACCACATAACGTCTAACGGGGTAACTTTGTCTCGCCATGCGAACAATTTTCCGTGTATTGTCTCAATTTTACTGGATATTAATAAAAAATATGGATTTTCCGTGGGTTTTAAACGTTTTTACAATTGAAATTTAAATGATTTTGCATGAGCATAGAGTGCAAATCTCACAAAATTTACAAAAAATTTGTGGGCCAATATTATATTAAGAACGGGGTAATTTTGCCAGTATAAGAACTGACAATACTATTTTGATGTATTTTTACATTTAAAGCCTTAAGATAGCATTGGATCTTCTGTTATAAATAAATAAATTAGGGTGCCATCTTATGACAGCTGTTTACCAAAAAAATAATCTTTAAATTTAGGGTTGTCAGTAAAATTCTATATATGTGTGTTTGAAAAAGACCTTTATTTATAGGAACTTATTTATCTTTACTTAACTTATTTATTCATTATTACATATCGGTCAATCAACAAAGTTATAATCCTTTGGTAGAATTAAAATAATAACAGTGGTTAATCACCCCATTCCATATAGAGAAATTGGTCTTTGATTTGGTAAGAATCACCTGTTTTAGTAATTTTATCATTGTTTACGTAGCTAGCTATGCATCTTTGATGGCATGTCAAGATTTCGGGCTTGGCAGGCCAATTGCATCCTGTGTAGTTCTTCTGCATCACAGATATGCTTTGGCCAGATGGGGCATCTTTAATCCAGTCTGACCATTTTTGCTTTGCTTTGTATATAACATACAATGGTACAAATTCACCTTCAGCATTTGCGCAAAACATTACAGTAAAACAGGATTTAGTAGAATTCCGAATTATTTCTGGGTTCCTGCACTCTCGTTTGAAAAGAAACTTCTCCGTCTTTGGAATGTCGTGAAAATCTGTTTCATCCAAATTATAGATGTTCCCGGGTAGAACACCTTGAAACTCAGCACTTAAATTATCAAAATATTGCTCACTTATTTCTTTACTAACTTTGGCACGCTTTTGGCTAATGGAATGAGCAGCCTTTTGCTTAATATACTTATGGCACTCTAGGAACAGTTTACCCCATTCCCAACCAGGCAAATTGTTTTTAAAAATTTTGACATGTTTGTTGTCATCAAGATAATTTTTAACAATAAACCTCACATCTTGCATACTTATTGGTACGCCATTGTCAGATAAGGCAACAGTGCGAGGGGCTTACCAACAGGTTTGCTGTATTGTTTTTTTAATTTATATTTTAATGTGCTTCTCGGAATATTGCAAGTCTCAGAAGCGACTGTTTTTGACATTTTACAACATTTTATGTCATCTAGGGCCTTTTTCAGTGTCTCTTCTGTATAACGAGTCTTCTTACCGTATTTTCGGGTACCAGGCGCTGAACAATATCTTTTTCCGGCCATTATCACCGACTGAAACAAAAAAGGTCAACCCTAATTAAAAATTAGTTTAATTTGGGTATCTCTGGCCCAGGTTAAATTTACCCATATTAGCACAAATTTTCACCAAACGAATTAAAATCAAGACAAACACGTAAACAACAATATAGATCATATTGATTTTTTATGAAAGTACATCTGTAACCTTTAGTTATTATAAAAAGTACAAACTTACCTTACTATGAAACTTTTTGGTGTGAATATAAACAACTTTGCAGCGATGTTTCATTTATCACCTCCCTACCACTTCACAATCAACTTCGAGAAAGAAAAGTTTTGCTGACAAATATCAAATTTTGGCGCGCTTTTTTCGTTCAATAATAAACATCTTAATCAAAAATTTCAAAGTCTATGGTAAAAGGTATCCCGTTTGGAAATAAAAAAATTTATATGTAAAAAGTGGGCTAATGTTAAACGGAAAGCTTAAGTTACCCTGATTGATGGTAAGTCATACATGTTAATATATCCTTTTTCAAATTCAAGAGCTTACCTGTACAGGATGCTGTTGTTGTTGGGCACGTAATGCCTTGAGCTCTTTTTGACGAGCTAACTGCTTCTCAAATGCTTCTAGCAAATGTTTACAGGTCTCCATATTCTCTACCGGCTCCCATGTATTTTGGTCACTAAGAATATAAATATTTTTAACAATAATGATCAATTTTAATAAGGCTATGACAGGATTTCATATAACATTGTAGTTTGTCTGGGTATTATTATCTTTCATTCATCAACTTTACAATCTTCTGCCTTTTGTAATAATTTCCTTTTAATGCTTTTAATCTTATACTTTCTCATTATTTTTATCCTGAATTACATGCCAAGTACATATAACATACACATAAGGCGAATAATTGATTGAAGATTTCAACAAAGGCATCCATAACACGGGTACTGACCCATGATATTTGTGGGGAAGAATAACGTGGACTCTGGTCACATGTAGACCTCATGCAGGACGAGAATTAAATTGAAAGAATTTAAATTGATCAAATGAAGTGCCATATAATTCTTACTGAGGATATCCCTCCCACTTGAGCAGGTATTCATATTGCTTGCGACGAGGGTTGAACCGTTTGGCGAGTATTTTCTCGACAACGTACTCTCCAGCCTCCGCCGGGTCGCCCTGCCGCTCCGTGCGCCGCGCGATGCGCTCCTCGGGAGGCACGCGCTCTTGGGCGTTACGCACGGAGTCGTTTAGATCCTACAAACCAAAATTCATTCATCTTACACTTCGTTACAAATAATAGAGTTAATGATCATCAAACTATAGGAAACATAATGCGTGTCCGATAAGGATACGCGATGTATCGTTATTAGTTCATTGGTGTTTATTCCTAATGAATTGAAGTTTCTTAAAATTCTTAATATGCTAATAGTAAAATCGACGTTAGCAAAAAGCTTTGTGTTTCATTAAAATAGAATATGTATATACTAATATAGTTTTCTATAAAACATCCACCTAAGCATCACAGTGTACTGTTACTGACGTTCCGTCAGTTTTATAAGATTTTTACTGACATATTACTGTTTAACTAAATATATTACTAAAATTATGTCTATGTGTATGTTCCCCATAAGCAGACCAATTTTGGTGAAGTTGTCAGAAAATTTTTAGGTTGGCCTAGCAGGCGATCCTACGAAGTATGGTAGCAATCAGACCAAACTCCAGCCTGGTTTAACCAGTAAAAAATCAATACCAAAATTTGGCATAGACAGCAATAATCTAATAAAATACATATAAATAAATAAATGTTAGTAGTATTTTTTAACAATATAAAATGATGTTAAAATAATTAAATAGCTTTTCGTCTCATAGTAAGTCCCATGGGAAGCAATAGAAACACTACGACTAGACAGTTTGTTTGAAATTTGAAACTTTGATAAAGTAGCATAATTATAGCACTATTCTTTTGACATGCGACCCCTCAATGCACAATCTATTGATATAAAATAATAAAAATATATTATCAGTATTTTAAATTTCTATTATAAGAACAATTGTTGAACGTGTGAAAAAAAAATTAATAATAATATAAGGAATCCCAACAATCAAAATTTTTTGTGGATATCAATTATACCTTTGACTTTATATTTGTTGCCAGAGGCGTTTTGTGAGTAATCTTCGGTGTTAAATGACTTTTGGTTTCTTCACTTTCTTCTCCGGATGGTACAGCTTCCATGTCATCCTGAAAATTTGAGTCATTTTAAGTTAATTGTCGCACACAATCAGGGCATTTGGTTTTTTCAAAGAATTATGTATTACATCAATGTATAATTAATGATATAAACTGAAAAAGTCAAATCACTTTGAAGTATATATTTCTTATGAAGAGTTTAAATTATATACTAGTGTGTGTTTATAGTAATCTTTATATCAGATTGAAGTGTTACTTACCTGCTTGAGTATTTTTTTTGGTCTACCTCGTTTCTTTATTTCATGGCCAGGTGTTACAGGTACCTGTTGGTCCTCTACTTTCAACTCCATCTGTGAAAAATATATGCAGATTATTGAAATTTATTTTTATTTTGAAGAGATTGATGTATTTCCAAGCAACTTCATTTATTTTTATTGTTTTATCTGAATTTTGTGTTCAGACATTGTTGTGATATTATGGTGTGTTCAATAATTGCATTTAAAACGAAATGATGTGGAAAGTGACTTCATTATTGAACATTTTCCTACTATATTTAAAAAAAAAAATGTTATTTAGTATCAGAAGTATCAGTATTAGTATCAGAAACATTTAATCCCAAATAATAAGTATTATTGGCTGACAAGGTGACATGAATGTGTTTTATGTGTTATTGAAAGTAGAACAGTGAATGTTGATGTCATAATTTGTTAATTTCTTTCCAACAAAATTCAATGTTTATGTGAATTATGTCTTTGATTTAATAATTCACTTTTATGTTGCTGATTACTTATTCAGTAAGTTTTTATTAGACAAATTTAGAAGTTAACAACATAGTGTGTCTTTGAAATGTAAATAATATAACAAAGGCAATATTAAATTAATGTTAAAGTAAACTAACTAAAAACTTATCACAGTGACAGTAAACACTTTCCATTAGTTCGGTTGTCTGCCTTAACCAACAAAAAAACCAGAACATTAAAAAGCAGACTTACGACTTTAGCATGTGCATATTTAGATAGTGACTGTACATTCTGTCCAGCTGTGATCCAGGCATTACGTTGTGCTTCTGGCATCCGGCACCACTGCTGATACAGTTTCCAGCTGTTGTCTGTGCTAACAGCGGAGCCTTCTCGAGCAGAAGAACATTTCCATAACAGGAATGCCCACACCTGTGCCTTACTTTCATTCTGTGGAAGTTTAGTTTATTGACTAATGATATAATTTAAACAATTAGGTTTAGCAAGGAATATTGTTTTCAATTACTTATCATACATATTTTGTAGAAAATGTTTTGTACATACATGTTTTGTAGAAAATATTTATGATAATGATAAATAGGCCATTGTCTGCAACTTAACTCCTCTTCAACTCACCTCTGTTTAGGTTGGATTTTTTTTACAAGAAAGATACTCCAATTAACCATCCAATCTGAGACAGATGACTCTCAATAACAGACCTAAGTAGTAAGGTAGATAAACACTTTACCATGTGCACTAGGTAAATGGATTTCTCATCAGACTTCATAGAGGTGTAATAGCTAATACAGTTTTAAGATATAAGTGTTTATTTTTACTTTTTAGTGTGGATTAAGTGGAGATGATCTTTTGTATCTGTAGTTATGTCAATAATACTTACAACATTTTAGTTGCAATATTAAGCAGTGTATTGTAGTAGTGTTAGGTTTTCAATTGAAAAATTTAAAATACAGTTGTATACTCACACTATCCCTTACTGGGGACTTTCCTGAACAATTGGTACCTTCTTTATGTTCTTTAAACTCTTCTACAAAATGGAATGCAGAGTGACACTGCCCACAGACCAGAATATCTAGTGCTGCCATTTGTTCATGAGCATCTACAAAAGTTTTAGCATTATTTAAATTAGTTTTGTGTTTGAAATGAACATAAACTTCATAATCTGTATTTATCTGACCTTTAAGTGCAGTAGGATTTTTGGCAAGTTCATCTGGATTTCCAGGTATCACCTCTTCAGGAGTTTCACTCTCTTCCATAGATGTCATTTTTTTAAATCTGCAAATCAAAACTTATTTCATCTTATCTTTTAGTAGCTTTTCCTTACATCATAACCTTGCTTGCCGGTAAATAGTAATTCCCGCCAACTCATTCATAATAGATTAAAAGCCACGCTTTCAAGTTTTAACAGAACATTGAATGTATAGTTTAATATTGTCACATAATTCATTTTTATTATTCTTCACTAGTTCTAAAAACACAGACACTTTTGTATTGGACAAATTATTGTATTTGATTTATCTAGTTTTCATTTCTTCACCACTTATCGTTTTGGGTAGATGATTATGTTTCGATTTACACAAAATTTAACCAATGAAAATATAAATATTTTAATCGCATACACACTTATTACAAGATTTTTGTAACCTTTTACTTTTTATTTAATGAAATGTCACAACATTACCTACCTACCAAAACAATTTCACAAAAATAATCTTCACAGGCAACGCGAAATGCTACAAATCACACCAAGAATTGAAAATTCAATGACCAAAAAAACCCTTTCACCGACACATACGCTACGCCATCTAGTGATTAGCCGACAACGCACGTTTTCTTTGCAAATGGTATCTCTTAAACACCAATAGCAAGATAAAACCGTATATTTCAACCAATGAAAGAGATCAAAAAAAATTGTCACGACAGAACGCACTTCAAGTTCACACAAAGGCGACCAGCAACACCGACACGTGAATTTAGCCGTCAATATTGACCGACTTTTCTAGATTCATTTGACCCTAGATCTATTTTCAATTAAGTTTGATGTATCATTTCTCAAAATAATTTCTTAAACATTTCTCAAGCATTTCTCAAACTAATTGCATCATCAATAGGATAATGTACTAAAATAAAAATGTTAAAGTATTTTTTTTGTTTTCATTTGTAGATTGGAGTCTGAAGATTTTGAATATGAGGTTTATTATGAGGTTTAATTTGTAATAAAGTTGAGAAATGTGTAGAAATATAGCAAAGGCGCAGAAATATTCTTATTTTGTTACCGTCTATCAATTACGTTAATTAAAACACCAAATCAATTTCGTCAACTTTTATGCATTTCAATAGGGTGACATAATCATCATTTTACGTGTCTATAAAAATAATGTTAACATTTACAGCAAAATGTTACTTAAAATCTGTAACATATTCTTTACGTTACCTACCATTTGCCCACAACTTTGTTTTAAAATCACAGTAAAGAAGTTTTGTAGTTGTTTTATTTATTTTTTATTTTGGGGGCACTGTGTAGAAACTTGGGAGGCGATTTGTAATTTTATCTAGGAGGACTCTTAGATACCGACTGAGCTCTCGCTATAGTGGTCTTTAAGTAGGTGATAAAATGGGGGCGCTAAAAAATAATTTATTCTCAAAGTGGGCAGTAGACAAAATAAGTTTGGGAGCCCCTGGTATAAAGCATAATCACATCTTTGGCAGAAAAATGGACAACGTAATAATATTTTTATTTCTTCAGCGTTCATACTTAATACAAAATGCAGCGGATTATTAGACGAATCTGGAATAAACCTGCAGCCATAACATGTCGGTGCCTTGATAAAATGTGTCTAAGACCAAGGCCATGATAGGCCAAGGTGTAAACACGGAATGTAATCATCTTTACAAAAAAAAATGTTCACAACTTTGTGTTTTGTTCAACACTCATCCAGCAAACATCACGTAGTAGGGATGAGGACAAAGCCGGTCTCCTGTCTTACTCACTATACATTTTTCAGCCATGTTTTGTTGGTTTTATTTGTGTGTCAATCGTAGCTTGCCAGCAATGTTTTTTTCGTTTTATTTGTGTATCAATAGTATGTTCAGTAGGTCTGAGAATCGTCTAGTATCTATTTTTCATACCCCTAAGTGATAAGGGTCGTCCACCCCAAACATTTTTCTTTTAATTTTTTTTTTTTTTTGATAATATGAGATGTTATGTTGTTGAATTATGGAGGGTAGAGGCAAGGAGAACCATCTCAGTATATTAAAAAGTGTCCACTGAAGGGCAGCAAATTAAGATGGCGCCATATTAGCAAGTGGAAAGATTTTAAAAACAGCGCCATAAGCTGTTACACTTCTGGTATGTTCCGATTTGCACTGTGAGCACTGTAAAGCAGTGATTCTCAACCACTGTTCTGCGGCATTTATGTGTGCCGCTAAATTTCAAAAGTGTGCCGCCAAATTTTGCGAGGGGTAAGAGTTTACCCCTGCACCATTCCCACCCCGCGGAACCCCATGGTTATGAAGATATCCACAGTTAATGCTTTGAGGTTAGAATAGCACTATTTAGTCAACATAGGGTTAAAATTTCAATTATGATCCATTATTTTTGAGTTGTGGAGGGAGGGGTTACCACTGCACCATCACCAAGCCACAGATCCCCATGGCTATGAAGGTCCATGGTTAATTTTTTAGATTAAAACTGCATTATTTAGTTAAACTCCAAGGGAGCTTAAGTTTGAATCCGCCTTATCTCTGGCGCTGCGGGAAGAGCAGCTCTTCCGCCCTGGCGTGCCGAAGCTCGGTCACTCGTGCTCTGCTCCGCAGCTTCGGCTTGATGGTCGCCTACGGCGACCAGCCTCAGCCACTCCGCCTCGCACTGTTTCCGTGCGCCGTCACAGCGGGTGAGGACTGCTCTCTCTCCGCGTCTCCGGTTTTTTATATACACTCTAGGGGTAGGGCAGACAAGACCAGGTGGAAAGTGGGTGCTCTGATTCGGTTTTCGATATTTTTCGAATATTTTTGCAATTTTATTTCCAAAACACGAGCATTTTTACTGTTTTATATTTAAATCTTATATAAAAAGTTAGTTTATTACAGAGACAGATAAAAAAACTCTATAAAAAATGCGTCATTTCACGTACCATTCCACAGTATAAACAAAATTTTGTTACTTTTTGTGTAAAAAAGTCAATTTAATTGCTTATTACAGAAACAATTACAATGCACATTAATTACAACAAATTTACTATGTGAATATATTAAAATAATAAAATATATTTCGGTAAAAACATGACATAAAATTTAACAAAATACACGCTTACCGTGAATGGAACGTGAAATTTCAAATGTGACATCTACCTTCACGATTTTTCTAATATTTACGGAAACTTTAAAAAATTATATCTCGTAAACCGTGAGTCTCCGCAGCTTGAAATTTTGCAAAAAGCTTTTTATTTATGAGTACTATCTACAAAAATATTGTGAACTTCCAAATCGACGGACCCAAAAGGAAAGTTTAGCCGAAAAAAGAATATTCAAGTCATTATCAGTTTAATTAATCGCTAAAAGTAAGTATATTTTTAGTAAAAGAAAATATTGTTTTTCAAGTAATTTAATCTATAATAGCTTAATAACCGTATTATTGAAATTAGGTTAAGCACGGTAAAAGTGCTGAAGTGAAGATTTATGAAATCATGTATTATTCCCCCTTACATTCATCATCATGTATCATCAATCATTCCTTAAGTTACTACGACTGTATACTGTCAGTCCTTAACGTAGGTAACGAATAGCAGTGAGAGCACTGAACAGTGCTCGCAGTGTAAATCGGAACATAGCCTTCACTGCATTCCAGCACACTTCACTCAGTTTAAAACTTCTATATTCATACTATTTCCCCTTGCTACACTAGCGCTAATTCGGTGAGTTTTCGAGCTATAATTTGCTGTTTACAGATGGACACTTTTTCAACTTGTCCGGCTTGTCCCATATACAAGATGGTGCTCCTTACCTCTACCCTCCATTCTCCATAATACAACTGGTTGAAGCTGATTTATGATATATATTTTTAATGAAAAAATCCTATTATATTTATGTCTGTTTTTTTCTTTCTTTTTAATAAATAAGTAGAGTAGTTTTACTGCTTAAACAATTTATAAAAAGCAGTGATGACCTAATATATTAGCCAGAACAAAATATAAAAAAATGAGACAGAGGCTAAAGTCTTAAATAGCTTTATTAGGTGTTGTTCAACGAATGTATTTACAGTCCGCGCGCGAGCTCCGAGGATTTTTAAGGAATGTTGACGTAATGAGCTAGTGTTGTAATTAGTCGATATTGCGCTATCGATACTAACACATCTTAAGCCTCCGTGCGAGTGTTAAATTATAAAATAGTTTTATGAGGGTATTATGTACTTGAAATAAAATAAAAGAAACAACTGATCACGTATGAATTTAATTTAATGAACTGATACTTATTGAACAAAATGAACGTGAAATCTTATTAATTGCTCTCGCAATCAGATTAATCAGTAGTTGAAGAATTTGATGTACTCTCCTCTTAATGTCACTCTCCTCACGTACTTCAATAATAAATGATTCGACAACATCCTCCATTAAGCCATCCTTCTGCTAGTAATATTCCTCTAATGCTAAGACATGGTTATTTTGCTAGGCTCGCCATTCCTTTCTCATCAAATTATATAGCTATTTGTGCAAACAAAAATACTTATAAGTGTAAGACTATTTATACTAAAAACACACGTAATTATAATTGCTATCGCAAAATTAAAAACAACGAGTCAGTAAGCGCACTCTCATGTTAAGGTCGACACTAGTAGTGGGAGAGTGCGGGGTATGAAGCGACGGTCGGGCGCGGTGCACGCCCGCCCGCTTCCCCAGCCCCCAAATCCTCGCAGCTCGCGCGCAGACTGTAGGTATTTGACTGGTGGGCACTAGGCGAGCGTCAACCATCATTTTTTATGTATTTATTATAATTTGTCAGGCTCTATGTCGTCAGCTAAGTATAGCCGATCATTTCATGGCCTGCGGGATAATGCGACCGTATGCGATGCGACTGTGCCAAATGCAGGCAGGTACCAATTTTTCTGATGAAAAACTTATTTCAAAAATGTTCACGATTGGCTTCCTCGATGAAGAGGATTAACATCGTATAATAATATCAAACTCGCAAAAAATATAATTTGCGTAATTACTTGTGGATTGTGGGTAGGGCGTCTTGTGAGCCCTCACAGGTAGGTATCACCACCCCGCCTAATTCTGCCGAGAAGCAATAATGCATTACGATTTAAAGGGTACTTTTTAAGACAGTACTCATGTCTGAAAGTGGGTAGTGGCATTTACGATGTTCATGTCTATGGGCTGCGATGACCAATTAACACCAGGTAGACTGCGAGTTCGTTGACCCACACTGTCTAGAAAACTGCATTTTAGTGCGCGGCGATATGTTGACGGACCGTCGCATATTCGAAATTGCGGAAAAGGACTAATTATTTTTTTTAAATAAATAAATATTTACTAACAATCACGCCACGTTAACTGGTCCCGTGATAAGTTCGTAAAGAACTTGTGTTACAGGTATCAGATAACGGATATAAATGTAAGATTTTTATTATACACATACATATATTTGATATACATCCATAACCCTGGAAAAGACATTAATATTTATCATACAAATATCTTCCCATGGCGGGATTCGAACCCGCGACCCCCTTGTGTAGTGACCATGTCACTTACCACTACACCAGACGGCCGTTTAATTAATTTTAATTGGTTGTTGGTT